ATGTGATGCTTAATGAACCGGATAAACATGGTTTTAAATGAGCGGACAGCTTTACCGACCCTCCTGCCCTTTCATCAGGCCTGTGGGTCCCCCTCCCAGCCTCACCCACCTCCTCCTCCCCGACCAGCCCTCTCCCCCCCTCACGGACTCACGCTGTTCAGGGCCGCAGACCCTCAGAACAGAGGCCGGCTAATGGAAAGCTTTCAGGGCAGCCGGAGAAAGATGTCGGCTCTCATTTGGCCTCCAACGTTTTCTGGTGTGTGTGTGTGTGTGTGTCCGTGTGTTCGTGTGTCCGTGTGCGTGTGTGTGTGTGTGTGTGTGTGTGTGTGTGGTCCCAGCTTCAGCATCACACATACACCTTGGGACATGCCATTATAAGCAGGACTGGAGACTGAAAACAACAACGCTGTCCACACCTCTCACACACACACACACACACACACACAGAGTGACAGACACACACCTGCATGGGCCTCAGTGAATGTGTGATATTATTATTAAATCAGTTTGTAAAGATCCTGCTAAAAAGGTTAATTAATTACATTAGTGTCATTGTCATTATTACTATTATAGTTGTCGTAGTTGTAAACTGTACATTTATAATCAGATAAAAAAGGGAAAATAAGAGGAAACTGGATTGACATTATTATAATAATAGATTAAAGTGTGATTTAAAAGGGACTTGATGAGTTTTTCTATGTATGTACGTGCCCTCTCTTGCATCATTTTTAGCTATTACATTTTTTTTTATTTCTAAAATAGCAGGTGGTCAAACAGATGTACAGGGAACAACAGAAGTGAGTCCATCCCTGTAATGTCACTATAATTTCAAATGATTCAAAATTGTGTCGTCTCTTAGTTGACCAAAATCATGTCTTCTTCCTAACAGTGAAAAACACATACTTTAGAAAGACTGTACTGAAAATACAAGCCTCAAAGTAAAAACTTAAAAACCTGTGATCACTGAAACTGAACTGAGGACATCTGTGATTTTCAATGATCAGAACTGCATGAAAATGGTTTTAAAATGTTCTGTGTACATCTGAACTGTCTCTGTTTTGGACCCATGGACTGTGTGGTTCTACATGAAAAACTGACGGAGGGATTGTGAGACTTTAAGATGGAAATTGACAGGAAGATGAGTGACCGACTGAAAACCAGGAGGTACAGAACCACTGATCAGAGCTAAAATGACACCACTGATTGTGCACTACTTTCATAATGTAGCTCTGAAAAGCAGACAGACGTTGGATTTCTCTGACAGCTCAGGACATTGCATAGCATCTCTATAGAGAGCCCCCTAGAAATAAAATGCTGCTTTTTCTGGTTTCTTCGCTCTTTCATGACAGTAAACTGAGTATCTTTGGATTGCTGATAAAACAAGACATTGGAGGATGTCGTGTTGGGCTTTGGGAATCACTCATCATCGTTTTTCACCATTTCATAGACCAAGCAACTGATCGATCAATCCACAACGTAGTCCACAGATCAGCTGCAGTCCTCCTGTTGACGTGTCGAGATACGACTTCAGCATCCAGATTCACAGGAGGCTGGAACCTTAAGTCAAGATGCGATCACGAGATACAAAACTGACCTTTCTGAACTTTCAATAGGTGTAAAATTCACTTAAAGACTATAAAACCCATAAGCTCAGTCTCCTGGTTCAGTGTCACGCTGTGGAAGTCTTGGTCGTGTGTGGAAGTGTGGTGCAGCCGCGGCCGACGCTCCAGGAGGAAGCTTGTTAGCCCGAAGAGTCCAGCTCTCCTGCACGTGTTCAGCCTGTCAGCCGCCTCGCTGATGTCTCTTGTTATTATTTTCCTCTCATTCTTGCTGCCTTTTCTTTGCCGAGTCATGAATAATTTGTGTCTACGCCTTGTTGCTTGATGACAGCTGTGCAGTTGGTTTGCAGTCTGTTTTTCAGATCAGGTGAATAATGAATAAGCCTGTGCAACAAAAGAGCTGTGTCCTATATGAGCCCTGGCTCTGCTGGTCTGTCCCAGCTCGGTTGGCGTGTCAACCGCCGGGGAGGGGACAGGTGAGCAGCAAAGTCTCTCTGGGGCAGAAACTTTCCTGAGTTCAAGGTGTAGACAGAAGGTACGATAACACTTCAGTTTCTCTTCATCTCAGAGTATTTCATGCCGTTTCCTGTATCCAAGTCTTTTTTTTTTCTGCAGAGCTTGCCATCAGAAATCCTGCGTCTCTATCGGGTTATCTCAACTCGCCAAACCTGTGTGAAATCTGCTGAACAGGCCATGAGAGCAAATACCACATTGTTATTACAATATACACAACAGGGCTGCTCACCCTCAGGGAAATAATCACATTTGCTTTCTCTGTCTGTCTCTTCTCCCATAAAAGCACCAGATGTTTTGCAGATATTGACGCCTGTCAGCTGCGTGCGTGTGAGCTTTATCTTTATGTTGTTTTTTTAAAGCTATGAGGTGTTGCATGTGAAGCATTAATCACGCTTTCCTTCGGTGCTTGAGACCACATATCACTGTTTTAAATCTGTTGATCGTGTCTCTTCCTTTCAAGCCGAGAGTTTTCTGTTCAACAAATTGTTTCTAGACTACTGGTTGCATTGAGGTATTTCTACATTTATCCAAATCGTTCGGCACAATCTGTCCCATCACAGGGATCGGACAGCAAACCTCCTCACAGAGGAGTTCATAAAGGTTACTTTGGTACAAAAAAAAAATCAGAACCAAACTCCAAAGTGTGTCTCTAAAGTCTCTCTTTTATAATTCATGTTTAATTTTAGATGAATAATAGATCATCCGAAAACCACAAAACCCAAACTCTGAACTTTCTAATTGCACAACTGTGTCTGTCAGGAGAAATTAATCCACTCATACCTCTGCATGTTCACTATGCATGTGTGGTTGCGCACTCAGATGAGTGTGCCGTGCGTGTTTCTTGACCGTGTGCACTTACGGACCAGGATGCAGGCCTAGATTTGAGCCTCAGACTGCAATGCTCTGATTACTCGCCCACTCGAATCGATCGAGCCATATTCTATTCATATTTGATAGACTCTGCCTCAGGGCAGCGGGGTAATGCTTTAAAAAAAAAAATCCACCCGTGCCCTTGGAGGAAATCTGGTCAGCCTAATGGCTAAGATTTTTGCTCGAAAAGCTCCTCTCTGAGATTGAAGAGCTCGTCTTAGAGGGAGTTGCAGAAGAACTCAGGAGATACAACTAATTGAGAGATTTCTACTTAACGAGCTGCTCAAACAAAAGTTGTGAGAGGAGTTTGATGGGACAAATTGAGCTGCAGTCTACCTGCGTCCCACCTGAGGTAACCCACTTGCCTGCGAGGGTCGAGCTCAGGCTGCTGGCTTGAGGCTGCCTCAGAGTGTTAAAGGCACTTAATGGTAAACTCAGCTTCATTTCAACTGGAAGAAATTCCCCCGTGACCACATTCCGCATCACTCACTCTGAACAGAGCGTGTGTCCTTTTCACATCCGGCTCAGTAATGTATCTAAAGCTTAGTAATGTCCTTTAAACTCATTTTTCATCTGGGATGTGGGCTTGCAGCACCTTTGTTTTTATTTAAAGAGAATAAACGCTGTGACTGGCTTTGCACCGAGGTGCACGGCTCCAGTAAATCCTGCTTTAAATGAGCACGCCTTTTCCTGTTCTCCTTTAGTCTGTTCATCTTGGGGTTTAAAATATTCAGTATTTTCGCAGGACTGGATGTTGTACGATTTTGGAGGAAGTGAGGCATAGAAAATCCTTGTGAGTCAGTGATTTCAATCAATGTTGAGAGAAGACGATTAAGTGATTGTTCCTCTTTTTTTCCCCCCCTCTCTCTTTTGCTTAGTTGGAGATGAGACAGTAAAGGATTAAGGTTATTAATGAGGCAGTTGTTTAGGTCTGTGGTGTCACCTAACCAGTTTAATCCACAATGTCAGACTGGTTCCCTCTGGAGTGGCCATATTTTTCCATGATAAGGATTTCACCTGTTTATTGAATTTTTTTGTTTTGCATGTTTGCTATAAACTACAGTATGTCAGGATGAATCCCTGCACTAATCCCTCCCAGGATCACAGCTGCCTCCTTCTCTTCCAAAACTCCTCCTCCTCCAAAATAACAGCCATGAGGGTGAAAGGCATGAAGTTAACGGTTAAATCTGCTCTGGTTGTTTAAGGTCCAAACACAGGGCTGCAGTGGTCAAAACAAACAGTCGCCTCTGGGCAATCACAATCACGGCAACAAGATGGTTAAAAGCCTTTGTTTGCCTGTTAACACTCTGGAAATCAAAGCATTCAGAAGATTTAGATGATCAAAGCACTTAAATAAGAGACATGTGAACAAACCTGAGATGATAATGACATAAATCTATTTATTCTAATAAGATTGTTGCTGTCATTTTGGTAATGCAGCCTGACTCAAATTTTCAGAATCCAATTTTAAATGTGCCTGTTTATCATTCATTTATTTTCTTTTGGAAAGTAAGTCCACTTTTTTTATTATTATTATATTGTCTTTTTAATTCCAATAAAATAGAAGCTCAAGTACAATAGGAAACAAAAACGTTATATTTATTTTGTAAACGACAAAAACATTTATTTGGACAAGAAAAATGTGCAAAATGGACAAAGGGAAGATAAGAGTGAGGCCCTCGTGGTTCAGTCACACAGTGTGAGGAGGCTGTTTTGCCAGCATGGCTGCCAGATGAAAACAAAAACACCTTCTGTTCTTTGGAGAAGCGCAGATTTTCATCTCTTTCCAGCCAGAGGTGTGACTACAAACATGTTGGGTTGAAGACATACACAGGATAAATTCATCTTATCATGCTTCATCAAATCACATCTGCATTTTTTTTCTTTTTCTTTTTTTTTTTTTACAGTTCACAGCTTATCTCTGGTTTTCTGGGCCTTTATATCAACCTGCAGGAGGTTTAGTGTTGCTGATGTCTTCACACTGCAGAGTCGTTCGTTTACTCTTCCTCCTGAATAAAAATAAATAATAATAATAATAATAATAATAATAATAATAATAATAATAATAATAATAATAATAATAATAATAATAAACACCTGCCGTTGTTAAATATATTTTCAATGCGCTTTTACAAAGCTAAAAGTGGAATTTGATCCAAAGAAATGTCCTCACGCTGGACGGAGCTTGAGAGCAGAAGGCATTAAAAACGTCTTTTGTCAGATTTTTCTCACTCGTTTCAATAAAATATTCTTTAAAGTCAGACACTGGAGATTTTTTTTTGTGCAGTTTTTTTTTTTTTTTGCGCTCGATTCTGTTTCATTTCAGTCCGTGCTGCGTCTCCTTGTGTCTCCTCAGATCCACCTTTCGTTGGAAACCTTTGCCGCAGAGGTCGCAGCCGAACGGTTTGTATCCGGTGTGTTTCCTGCTGTGTGTGATGAGGTTGGAGCTCTGGCTGAACGCTTTTCCACACACCTGGCATTTGTGTGGCTTTTCACCTGTAAAAAAGAAAAAAACAGATTGTTTTTTATTAAACATTAGACAAATCATTTTAACCACATGCGTAAAAATCCAGACTTTTACGCACAGGTGCGCTCTTTGACGCACACATTTTTTTTCAGCCAGGATCAGCAACTATTTATTTCGATCAAGTTATTTTTTGGTTCAGTTTTTTTTTTTTCTCTCCACTTGCCTGTGTGAATAAAGGTGTGCTTCTTCATGTCTGACTTCTGGTGAAACCTTTTACCGCAGTACTGGCACGGGTAGGGCCGCGTGTCGGAATGAATGAGCAGATGAGTGGAAAGTGTGGATGACCGCTTGAAACTTTTACCGCATATTTTGCAGTCGAAGCTTCTTTCCTGAAACGTGAGCAGAAGCCGCTTTGGTCATGATTTCGAGTCAGCGCAGTCACCCTGACAGGAAGGTGAGCTGGCAACAAGATGCAGTTTCAAAAATGTGAAGAAGGAAAAAAAACCAACAACAAGAAGAGGTGCGAACAGCAGCGTGCGGTTCGTGAACTTACCTGAGAATGCACGGCTTTGTGTTGCTCCAAGCTCACTGCGTGTCCGAAGGTTTTGCCGCAGATTTCACACGCAAATGGCCTGGTGCCGCTGTGCGATCTGCGGACGTGGACTTCTAAACCGTGCGGGGTGGAGAACACCTGGTGAACAGACAAGAAAATGAATGTTAGGAAACATTTGGGACAAAGGTTTAAATAAATTGGCATGTAATTGAATTGTTATTTAATTGATTTATTTCTGGGAGGTCAGAGGTCAGCAGCAGTGTGTTCACTCAGAGCCACATTAACCATCTTGTAATCTAAATCATGACAGCACCACTAAGTTCATCCAGGCCTCTCCATCCTCACCTTGCTGCACTTGACACACTTGTACGCCCCATTGAGGACGAGACTGGAGCACATCAGGTCAGACTGGGCCTTCACGTTGTGGTTTTTTCCGTGCAGACCTGCTTCAGGAAACAGCAGAGCAGCAGCAGCAGCCGCAGCAGCGTGTCTCCTGTAGTCGCTGTAAGCCTCCTCTCCCAGAGTCCGGTCTGCGTACAGGGCCGGGTTGGCTCCCCTGTCCCCATAGAAGGCCATGGCTGCCGCCGGGCCCCTGTCCACCTCCATGCCTCCATGGTGGAGGCTCTGCTGCACCAGGGGCCTCAGCCCAGGCCCCGAGTAGCTGCTCCATGCGTACGGCCGGAAGGGGACGGTGAAGGGCTGGGTCTCGTCCACCAGAGGAGAGAGGGACTTCTCAGAGTCAACTGGAGAGAGGAGAGGATGAAATTTTAATGGAACCAGTGACACGGCTGAAGGGGGGCATTTCCAGAACCCCACAGGGCCTCAGAGGGCTGATACACAGAGTCATGCAATGTTCTCTCAGAGAATTCCCAGATGATGATTGTTGGGGGGAGAACAGGGGATCGTATGGAAAAAGAGGTGATGTGTGTTATGATGGATCAATAATTGATCATTTGGCTTCAGGTTATTTCAAACCTCCAAATACTTTTGTGTACAAATAAATAAAACCTCTTTGACCAAATGTTCTATCAGTGATTGTGGATGGATGTTACACAGTGACACCATCAGGGAACAGCAACAAAACATTTATGGGAGTCTGCTGCAGAGGCCTCCTGCTTTTGTGATCATTTTAATTCAGCAAAGTCTTGTGTTGTGGTTCCCAAAATATGCTAAAATATAAAAAAAATAATTTATAATAGACATAATTCAGACAAATAATAATATCCCTGCTATTAGACCTGTGTATCACCCTGTTGGCCTTTTTAATCCACGCGTTTCTGAAATGCTCTGCAGGATCGTGGAATCGTTTTTTGTTGTTTTACCTGGAGACGCAGAGGGGGACGGAGGCCTCCAGAAGTCCTCGTAGTCCGGGGAGCGGCCGCACAGACTGTCGGCGCAGCTCAGCGGAGACTTGGGGGAGAAATCAGCTGCGTCGCCCAGGTGGGAGTCCGGAGAGAGGCCGAACGTGTCCACCGAGAGGTCGGCGTCTTCCTCTGGGAGCTTATCTGGTTCTGTGGGGAAATACGGAGGACAGTCAGAGTCTGGGACTCAAGGAAGGTCGGTGTGATGTTGTTTTTAAAGAATGACATTTACTATTGTTAATGGTTCTGAATTTATCCAAATGAATTTAGGTGAAATCGCAACAATATTTCAGCATTTTTAATGCGCAAAAATACAGGTTAAGGCCAGTTTTTACCTCACCAATAAAAGAATAATGTATTCATGTATAAATAGAAGTGCTACAGCAGAGTTTTTTTTTAAATAACGTGCCCCTATAAATACCATCATATTTAAATGGAGCTGTTTATGGGAGTTGTATTTCGTTCTTGTGAAATCTCAGATTTTAAATACATAAAGATCTCTTTCTGTTTCAGCATTTTTAAGAAAAAACTGTTTTCAGGCCTTTAAAAAATATCTTTAGATTCTTTAAAACTGCAAAATCAAGCAATTTAAGTTTACCTTTGTGTTTTATAATTTATAATACTTTAACATATTGTTGCTCTTCAAAAAAAATTGCATCACAAATCTGTTTTAGACTTTTCAAAATGTTTTTTTTGTTTTCATCAAATGGAACGCAAATGGAACAGTTACATGCGCATTTTACGCACAGAGGAATCTATGTTGACCACTGGATTATTATGCATCATTACCTGAGCATATGTGCGCCAGGATCGTGTCCAGTCTGCTGTAATCATCCTCAAAGCTCCGGGGCTGGTGGTAACTGTGCGCCTTCTTACTCTTCACCAAGAAGGATCGGGGCATCTCTGCAGTGAGAGCGGACAAATCAGGGATGACAATAATAATCCAGCTGCGGAGAAGGAGTCCTCCTGCGCAAAAGTGCAGCTCTGTCCGAGATGTGATCTCCACTGGTGCTGGAGATGTGGCTCCCAAGTGCTTTTACAGATTGAAACCTGACCACGGAGCATGCGCGCAACGTCCGTCCCCGCCTGCCAGGTGTCGCTCGGACAGGTGTCACAGCATCACTCCTCCTCCTCCTCCTCCCTCCTCAATGGCAAAAAAAATAAATAAAAAAAAATCCGCCTGCAGCGTTTTAGTCTGCGCGTAATGCAGTGACAGGACAGGTGATTGGAAAGCAGTCTGCTGCGGGGGCGGCTTCTTGTCACACTAAATTCATTTCAAGACTTTACTTGATATCATGACGTTGTATTTTACCTTTACTCTGCTTTTTGTTATGAGAAACGCCCGTGAAGTCAGCAGCAGATGAGCGTATTTTCAGTAACTTTGGGGTGCTCCCCCTTTTTTTTTTTTTGTTTCACCGCCTGGAACTGCTGGTCCTCCTCCTGGTCAGGATGCAGCTCGTGTCTCCAGAGGAGCCCGTAGCAATCAGGAGAAGTGATATCTGCGCCTTTTCTTAATCTTTGAGAGGAGGGGGGGAGAGGAAACGTGGAGTCGCACCCCGGGGTGTCTCTCGCTCAGAGGTTCAAGTAGCACGTTGTTTAAAAAAAAAAAAAAGAGGCGGGGGAAACTCTACTGGGTCCTCCTATTCTATTCTATACAATTAAGGTAAGAGGAAAAATAATATGAAATTAAATAAAAATCGTCAGTACAAATTTCCTGGTGATTTAAAGCGGAGTTTGCGCGCCTTTGTCCGCTCTGGTGGTCAGCCGAGGCCACACACTGTTATTACGCGACAGACACTCGCCGTCCTCGCGCCCCGCGGTGACAGTTTCACGTTACTCTGGCCTTTATTCTCCAAAGGAAGAAACACAAAACAGAGACAATTTGTTTTCTGTTCACTCAGGACTCAGATTAGAGCCACTGTTTTGTCCCATTGTTCTGTGCGTAATGACGCCAGAGGCTGCGTCCTGCAGGTGCAGCGAGTCGATCCCCAAACTTTAACAAAGTGACCGGATGCACTCAGAGTGAATCAAATGTACCGCATTCGATTGCAGATATTTTGTGCGAAAATATTTTATTATTATTAATATCATTCTAAAATCCAAGAACCGTGAAAATCTCCACCGAGCTGAATTTTTACACTTCGGTACTGGGTTGGGTTCAACATTTCCACGCACGCGTTTATTTATCAGTAAATATATCCAAGAGAAATTTCAAGTTTCTGTTTTATGTCATCGGATGCATTTGTGCTGCCAGTTGCAAATGGGACAAATTCTTATCAGTAAATGAAGAGCAGGAAATCAAAGGGCCACATGTCCCGGCTCGATTAGACGCATCACGGCACCCAGGCACCGTTTTTGGTGAAGATATGAAGCCCGATAAACAAACAGCAGCTGCAGTCAGGCTCAGAGTTTCAAGCAAGTGTTGTATCCTGAGCATCACAATACAGTTAAATACACACACACACTGTAACAATAATAATAATTATTAGAATAATGCACATTTATTTCATTGTATTCTAATTTACCCGCAGCTTTGCAGAAGTTTAACTCTCCCCAGTGCGCACTTGTGTAGCCCCGCAATTATTAATTCACGTAATATTTCTGCAGAATTTATTCTTCTATTTTTTTTTCTCTCCGGTAAAATTCAGCTTTAAAAACCGCCTCTACATGTGAAATCACCAAATGATTCATGCCTCCCACACGGCACCGCAGTCTCCGAGTCAATGCGCTCTGGTTGTAGTAAACATCTGAGGACGCACCGCGCTCCATACAAATATATTAATTAATGCAACTGCATGATGTAGACTTCATCTAAACTGCGTCTTATCTGTTTAAATCAAGAAGCTGTCAATTCCAAATATTAAAATCGGATTCCCGACACAACTACAAAAATAACCCAAGTTGTTCACAGGCAGATAAAATGTGAACCAACTGTCAGTCAGTGCGCTACGACGTGTTGAAAACATCCACAAACATCATCAGTCACTGCAAAATAAAAGCCAACAGGACACAGAGCAGGTCGTCTCTACTGCACGCTGCCCTCAATGCGTAAGAAAAGCTCGTCTTCATCGGCGTTTCAATACCAACCTGCTTAATGTTTCGGAGTGGCCGAGGAGAGATGCTCTTTTAAAATGTGGTTTTCTGCTTGAAATGGTTAGTAGTTGAGGCTCAGCTCTGAAAACCGCGAGAAATCACTTCCTGAAAGCACTCAATCTTAGCAACAATCTTCAGAGGAAGGCAGTGCTCAGTCTAATCATCCTACATGTGCTCACAGTCATCTGAGCACATTTCAGCCTGATTGAAGCTCTGCGGGCGACACCAACACAGACACCAGGAGAAGAGTTTATCAAACATTTTATTGTGAACTCATCACACACTCACACACACGCACAACAATCTCATTTAGTTTCCAGAGTGTGCTCCATAGTGTTGCCATGTGTGTCCTTACTGCACTGCAGACTCCAAAAAAAAAAAGTGCCATAACGTGTTCCTCTCCCCTTAAACAACACAGGGTGTCTTCATCAGAGAGACTCTCATCCTCCTCCTCAGCTCCAAGGCGGGATCTCGCGTCTCCTGCGTTCACTTCAGTGTTAGTGTTCAATACGGACATTCAGAGAAATTCAGTTCCAGGTCGTTGCGCATGAAATGGAGTGGAACTGGCTTGTGGACGAGCACAACACAGAACATAGTGCTTGCTTTGGTAACACTCGGCGACTCCTGATTCATCTCCAGATTGTGTTATATGTTATCTCAGCTTCGTCTCCCAGTTGACGTTCCCTCGGACTGTCCTCGGTTCAAGTTTGTTACACACAGAACATATGATAGACATTACTCATGTTTGACTCATCAGCAAGAGTGTGTGCTCAGTTGACTCTCTGCCTTCTTGTCATCGTGAAAGACAGTCAGGATGCTTTCAGAGAACTGGCTGCAACAGTAGCTAAGTGATAAATCTGTCCCCTCTCTGCGCTTATTATTCATGTTAACTGCTCTAAAGACGGCGAGCTGAAGGCTTCTAATGAACGGAGACTCTCCTAACAGGAATTCGCCTTATTCGTCTCAAAAGCAGGATTTGTCATTAATAAACTAAGTTATATGTCCCTTTTTCTCAATTGTACAATATATTCTAAACATCAGATATGCAATAGATACATATGTTCAAGTTCAAAATGAACTGCAGAAAAACCAACATCATACACATTTACATATGTACATGTGTGCAGATGTCACACTGACCTTGTGCGACACGTGCTTAAGGCGGTCGCTGGCTGATAGAAGCGGCTTTGATACCAGGCTCTGACCAAGCTCATCAACACAATAGATACACACACAGTGAAACACACTCACACGGTTCTGCCTCTGCAGGTCAGACACTTAGTAGTAACGGCATCAATACGTTTCTGATGTTCATTTATAAAATGCTTTAAAAATATAAAAACGCGTTGGATGAAGTGTGTAATGTAGCATAAAATGTTTTATTGCACAGTCTCTGTCTCTGTGTTGTACCTACAGGAGGACAGACAGACGCCACCTTCTGTCTGGGGTCCAGGATAGTTTGATACGCTCCACGTTTCATTCTCTGCTCAGGTGCAGGCTGGCTTCTGTCAGCGCTGCTCAGACAGACAACCGTTTGCTGCCCCCAAGGCAAAAACAAAAACAAAAAAAAAACAACAAAAAAATCTACAAAATAGAGGTAAACAAAGAAAACTAAATCCTTAAGTGTGATTCTCGTGATATGAAATGATGATGCATTTCCTCTCTGAAGCACAGAGCTCCAGATCCAGACCTCTCCTCTGAAATGGCTGCTGCAGACGCCCGGCTCGTCCTCGGTGGGCGCCTCTGTCTGGACGGTGGCGGCCGGCTGCTGCTGGTCACACGGTGGTGGACTTGTGGCTGCTGCTCTGAGGCACAGAGAGCCGCAGGGCCTCCCCGTCCTCCTCTTCCTCCTCCTCCTCCTCCTCATCGCTGTCGGTGTCCGCCAGGTTGGGACGCAGTCGGATTCGGCCGCCACTCCTCTGCTGGGGGACCTGGAGGGTCGAGTCCTTGACTCCGTCTTCGTCTGAAGACTGGTAAGACTCATCATCCCCACCGTAGTGATTGACGATGTGTATCCCATCAAAGGTGGGCTGGCCGGCCAAGGCCCTCTGCCCTTTTAAGCAGCAAATCTGTGAAAGTGAGCAGTGAGAGTTAGGAGCAGCACAAACTGTTTAATCCTGCAGCAGAAGATGAAACTAGCACACGTATGGAACTTGTAGGTTTGTGGTGAGTGACAGTCAGATGAAGGTTAAAACATTATGGTTGGTTGATTGTTGTTGCTGTTTTTTTTCAAAGTACTACAGAACAAAGTGCTGGGTAAACTGGAAGCAAACTTTCTAAATGTGGCAAATTTAAAAAGAGAAAATGCAAATTATGTTTGTTCATTAAGATCACATGTCCTGTCTGCGTGGACATGGAGAACATTAATACAGTGCTGCTTCTGTAGCGAACACCTAGAGGATGATTTAGAGGGAGGACAACTGATGACGTCAGCACCAAACTCTAAGCATCCTTATAAGAATAGTCCTGATTAAAGGTCCGAAAAATATCAACAGTAAGACGCCAAAAACCTGAAAACACCTGAACGGCTCCAACTCAGGCCTGAATTCCATATAACTGTAAACTGACTTTGACATTAAAATTATTTTATGCTTTTAATGCTGCCCGATAGATTGAGTGAGAACGCAGGCTAATGGCAGCAGCCGTGCTCTGACGTCGGCTATGTTCACATGTAAAATGAGCGGAGACAGAAAGTCTGAAGCTCGCTGTGCCGCCTCCTGGATCTGCGATCTCTGCTAAAGATACATTAAAATACTAGAAATACAGACAACCGCCCAACACGAGTAACATCGAGGAGTGAAAACAAAGACAAACAAACATGATGTGAACCAACTGTCTGCAGCAGGCAACAATGTTTTATCAGCATCACTGGCACAAACATCAGGAGACGTCTTCCACAGATGTAACATGCAGGCAGCAATTCAACCAGAACACATGAAGGAACACTGGAATAAGATGCCAGTCTGTTCCATACTGCACACCCACAGTACCTAGTTTAATGCTTCCTACATGTAAGATCAATAAAATGCACCGTTGTTCACAGGAAATACAAACACACTGTGAATCTGGGATGAAACTGAAAGAGAAAACAAAACGGTTCTGCAAAGTTTCAGTACTATTTAGTTTTCTGAGCTTCCTAGTTAGTTTGTGCTCTCTCTCTCTCCAATGTGGATTGTGCATGCAAACTCATAATTTGGTGTGTATACTGCCATCTGTGGTTACCTTTCCAGTGTGAATGCTCAACAGTGGGTGTGCAGTATGGTTGTGGTTCAGAGCTGATGCTGAAACCAGACAGGTGGCTCCATGTCAGACTGTGTGGGAGACGGTTCCTCTGGTGGGAAAGTGGTTGTCTATCAGGTTTACGAAGGTGAACGAAATTCATTTCTTTATTGTCACTGCACAGTGGTACAGTGAAATCTAAATGTGCTATCACTACATGTAGCAACTGTAAAAACAGGTGAAAGCCTCATTAATATTTGCTAGATGAGCACCTTAGACCTGAGGCTGCATCCACACAAACATGTTTTCACTTTAAAATGTCGCAAATGAGTAGCATTTACACTACTCAGACGTTTCAGGGCCCTAAAACGTAGGCTTTTGGAAACGCTGCTTACCTCGTTTATTTAAAAAACTGCATGGTTGTGTTTAGCTGAACAAGGATCATGACTTCCCATACACTGTATAAAAGATGGAAGTCGCGACCGTGACGTCACCCGTTGGTTTCCGCACTGAGAAAATGAAGCCAGGGTTTTGCTACTTCCTGGTTGACATCTTGGATTTTTGGAGCCAGTGATGCAAAAATCGTCAGAGGGGGGCGGAGCCATAGGAGCAGCGATTGGTCAGACGGATTGAGAGGCGGGCCCTCTCTGCCCGCCCACATTTACCGCCTTCTGATTCAGTATTGATTTATTTTCAGATTGGCCACCTGATCTCTGGACTTGACCATGAAAACTAATAAAAAAAAAACATCCTGAGCTGGAGGAATGCAGTATTTTGTGATCTGTGACCACTTCTTTTCCAATTCATTTCTATGGGAGCCTTTTGGAGCCAGCAGCTAGCGGACGTAGTGATCCTGCAGGTTTTTCACACTTCCGAGTTGGCTTCATTTTTCAGGGCCGGTTGCTACGTCCATCTTTTATGCAGTCTATGTAACTTCCAGGTGTTGCTCACCTTGTTGTCTCTGCTCTTCCTTTTAATCGCTGCTGTTCTTCCTCCATAAGCAGCCAAACACAAACAACAGCCCCCTGCTTCGTGTGAACAACAGCACTTAATGCTCAAATGCTCGCATGATATACATTTTCAGGGATGTCGGTATGCAAAGATAACATTTCTAAAACTGAGCTAAAGTGCTTGTCTGTATGGTTGGAAAGAGGCAAGAAGGAAGCAACGGGGTCGTTACATCTCAGCCCCTTTAAGTCATTAAGAGATTATTTTCATGGCAGACACTTTTAAATGTGTAATTTTGAGACAAAGGAAATGTTTTCAAGGGTTAAATCAATGACGAGAGATGGACTTCAGGGTCTGGGTAAGAGTTAAAGAGTAGTTTAAGAGTTACAACATAAAACAAACCATTTGGCTTCCAAAAGAAAATCGTGAAAACTTATCTTGAAAAAATCTTAAATTTAGTTATTTGCAAATTCCATTTTCATTTTTGTTTTTTGTTTCTGAATTACAAATGCTCTACAGTTTGCTGGATGATACCCGTACTGTTAAAATGCTGTTTTAAAATGAAAACGTATGTGTGAATGTAGCCCAGGTCTGTTCTCTGAAAAGAAGCAGAACACTTTGGATAAAACGTGAATCACACCTTTATGTTTTTTCTACGTCTACTTTGCTGTTGCACCACCCTGACATGTCTGATGGGGTAAAACACAACTGTAGCTGCTTAGTTTTTTTTTTTTGTTTGTTTGTGCCATTTCAATTATGCTTTTTTGCTCCACCAGCCACAGGAGGGAGCAGCGAGGTCAATCCGACCACAATCAAAAACAAAATTTAGCAAACCAGACGACAAGACTCCCACTTTGTTTCAAGTATTTTCTGGCAGCCAGTTTCAGCTTAACTAGTTGCTTTGACCAGTTTGCGTCAGCTTAACTTCTCCACCTAGCGCTGCTTCCCTGAGCTTTTCTATGGAAGTAGTCGAACCGTCTCAGACACTGTGACTTAAACGAGCCCAAAGTGGGCCTGGGTGGGGGTACACAGCCAGTAAGTGAGGGTCAACAAAAGGTCAGGTTTGAAACACTGGAGGTATCATGGCACATCAGGAACGACTCACCTGGGTCGGCCTGCCATGCAGCAGACAGACATGTAGAAAAAGATGCGTTCAGAGGCAGGTTCAGAGCACAGAAAACACATCAACAGAAACAAGCCAACATTTACCTGCACCTGTCTAAACCAGCCTGCCTTCCTGTTGTTGACATGCAAAAAGGAAATTGTGATCTAATCAACATGTGACTGGCTGCAGTCAAAATTTCCAGCAACATGATGCAGGTTTTGGTTGAAATTTTGAGGAGGAGGATGGTGGGCTTTGTTTACTGAGCCAATCTAATTTCAGGTTTGCTCACCACAGACGCTTTAGTAAACATGATTCATAGGAGGCCGCTGCTAAAGCTCAAAGATGACCACAAGGCAAGGTGATTCTCTGCACTGCCGTTTGTTTCCAACACGTGACGCTGGTCAACAAGCAGGATGAGGCTGAACTGAGGGTAAAGGTGAACGTTTCAGGTCGTGACACCAAGAGGAAACGCTTTCACTTCTCTGACATGGCTTAGATTCATCTCTGGTGACATTTTATTCTAATTTTGAACTTTGAGCGTACGTCCATCTTTGCATCTTGGCTATGTGCTGTGGTGAGCGCTCCTCTTTGAACATCTGTACGGTGTGTTTGTCAAGGTATCTGCAAGAGGTGTGCAGCTCCACACAGGAAGTCTCTGGGTGTAGCTAACACTTCTACTAATCTGTTGGCCTCAAAGTAAAACCATATCTGAGGGAATGTTGTGAAATCTTGTAAAATGCTCGATCAAAGAGTCGGCAACAACAAATTTGGAAGCTGTAAGCGTGCAAAACAAGGTAGTGTGATTAAAGAAGGACCTGTCAGTGTTTCTATGAGTCTCACCTCATGTTTCAACTCTGCTATCTGATCTTTGAGGTCGCGGATGTACTGACTCGAATCTGTGTGGTTCAGCTGGCCTTGGACCTTTCCTTCTTCTTTCTGTTGAGGAAAGAGACGTGACTTTGAAACAGCTGCAACACCAAGCGGTACAAATAAGCTATTTTAGCATCACGTAAACTATCTGTAGACCCTCTGAACTCCCAGCAGTTTCAACAGTTTTTTTGGGGGGGGTTGCGGTCACATATTTACTGACTGCGTGCTCAGTTTTTTTTGTAAATATGAAGTCCTGCATCTCTATGGAAACAACACAAGCAGAGTTAGAAGCAGAGAGAACTCAAAAATATCTCAGTATGACACAAGTATGATGCTATAACTCAGAAAAGAGAAAAGTCACTTTTTTAATTATAATTTACAAAACAAACACCCCCCAAAAAATGGATTCAACATGTACCACATTTACATAACTTCCCCAAGTGCGAACAAGTGTTGCTGATATTATTATAGATATTTTACTAAGTATATTTTTAATTTGTTGTCTTCTCTCTGCTTTGTGTAAACACAGCCTGTAGTTCAGCGACAAGTTTCAGACTTTTGTCTTGTGACTGTTGCAGTAACTGAAGCAGAATGTTTGAATTATTTTTTTTTCTTTATAATTGCTCTGGTGCAAAGTATTTATTTTTATAATCTTAAATTTCTTTAATAAGATAAGTAGAATAAAGCGATTTTGGTGAAATATTATGATTTTAAGCTTAAATTTGTGAAATTTCACATCACACATGATGCGTTCTAGGGTTGTCAGATCATTTAAAATCCAACGATTCTGTCAGTACAGTTTCTAGCTCTGACAAATACTGTAATTTTGAGGATTTTTTTATTTTTTATTTTTAATGATAACATGCCTTCCAAACCTGCCAGCAGATGTTTGGTGTTCACAAAGTGTTTGGAAATTGCAACCACAAGTTTTGTTGTGTTTATGAAAACCTCTACAGGCAGAACAAACAGCAGCAGGTTTTAACGCCTCAACGTTAAAAAAGCAGCCTCACGAAGGCCTGCATGTGCGGCGGATGACCGAAGTGACAGATGTCTGGGGAAACACAAAACAGTGTCATTTGTGCTTGATTTCCTCCAGGGGCCCTGGGGATGAGGCTGGTTTTCAGCTCTAACAGTTAAATGTGATGTTTACCTTCCTCAGTGAGGACATCTGCAGGCATCGCAGACAAACACGTATTCTTTTATAAACTTCAACCTTGAACCGGCCACGTTCACAGAGAGACCAGTGAAGGCGCACAGAGGAGTTCAAAACACAGGCTGCAGCACAGCACGGGGTGGAGTGTGGTGGTAAAGAGGTGACACCAAGTTTTCACCGACACACTGAAATACAGATCGAGTTTTGATTCCTGTGGTTGAATTTGGCGGGTCCCTGTGGGCTTCTTTTTTTTTTTTTTCACAAGGAGAGGTCTAAACAAGTGAGAATCCAGAAATCTGTTGTTTTTGAGGTTTTGCTGCTCCAAAACACTGCAACGATAAGAGCAGGCAGTTAATAAGACTTCCTCGTGTTCAGCTGGGTGCATCACCAGGTGTCAGGCTGTGGCTGAGGACGCCAAACGTCTCTCAGAATCGTCCTTTAATGTCCCCAAACTGTTGACTCGTTTAGTTCTGACGTGGAGCTAATAGAAGGGAGAGGGCGGAGGACTTTCTCTTTCAACACTAGACTATTCTTTAATTATTAAAATCTGATAACCTGAGTAAGTGGAAAAAAAAACCCCAGCTCATAAAAGGTGTTCCTATGAAATGAAGTAGATCATTTTCACACCTGTGGCAGTGACGTACAGGTTACTGAGTCTGCAAAGACCTTTATGAAGATGTGTGAAACTTCACAGCTGTTGTGTGAAAATGTTAAAGTTAAAAGTTGCACTTTTACTATGGCCCACGTTTACCATTTATCTGCCTCTCAGTAAAGAACCGATGCCATGACAACATCGTACACTGTTGAACAGAGTCACTCATCAGAGCGACGATACTGATTCATTTCCCACAATAGTGCGTCATATACAGAGTAAACATCAATGTGTTTTTACAGGATAAAGTATTTAGTATAAATCTCTGAGCATCGCATAGAAACCTCAAAATAAACCATGCATGTCACCTTTGGTAGAGTTTCTGCTTCAAGATGAGAAACCACTTCCTATCAGCCTGTGGAGCTGTGGCATGAAGCAAAGTACGAATGCGATAGTGAAAAAGTCCTACACATAAACCTTTCTAGACATCTTACTTTCATTGGCAGTGTTTTCCATCGTTTCTTAGTGCCTGTTAGCAATATTTTGCATGTTTATCAGGACTGCAGGATTTTCTGGGTGATAGTTAACACAGCATTGCTATGTTGCTTTCAGGCTCTGTTTACTCTGGATGCAAATGTGTACAGTCTCATAAACTGATAGTCGGCCTTGTTAAAAAAACAAAACAAAAACACAATCGATTAACTTAAGTATTTGTTAGGTTTACAACATCGACAAATATATCAGAGTAGGAAACCGCAAAACTGTGTGCCCCTTATGTTTTGCCTTATAAGTTAATATAAATGTAATCCCAGCAATTAATTAATTACCAAACATTACCATCTCTCACTCAAACATATGCATGGTAAACAGCTGTCTCTGTACATGGGACAATGCTGGAACGTTCACATTTAAGCACCAACGCTGGTGATTTGACATAAACATCACACAGAGCCCCAAGATAACACCTCCCCTGACTTTAGTTGATGCAGACTCACACACAGAATCACAAAAACACCTTTCACGTGTGTCAACTTTTGCCTCATTCACTTTACTTTTTCGCATCTACTACAGGTTGAAATTACAGATAGCAACCCCTGCTGAAGAGCATCGTGTTCAAAGTGACGGATCCTACGTCGACATTAAGAGTCGAGAGTCAGAGTTAATCTGATACCACTCTGATGTTACACATGAAACCAGAACTGCACGCTGTCACCGACATGCGTCACCATCTCTGATGAGGAAGTCAAGAAACTGATTTTTTTTTTTTTTTTAACATTTGTTTTACATTTGAAACAAATTTTTTACCCACAAGTTGTACAGCAGGCAACCAAACCACAGACCAAAAACCCAAAACTGACAGTGATTTAATTTCTTGCTCCTAAAAAGAAAAAGAAAAAGCAAAAACCTTTTCAGAGTGCGACATTAACGCCGACACTGAAAAAAAAAGGGGGAAAGCACAGTGTAAATCTACATGTTACTGACATACTCTGAGTTCAATATGCAGATTCTACAAAGCGCGAAGGCAGTAGCGGTAACTTTTTTTTCTTTCGCATGTTTTTGCTCTATCACTTAGTAACCAAACCTCAGACCACACTGTGTGATTGTGTGCCTGTCAAGGGGAAGAGGGGGAGGTTTTCGTAGGACTCATACTTATAAATAGCTTGAGACTGCAGCTTAAACTATCTGAAACACCTTAAACTCAGGAATAAATTTACAACAGCACTATACTGTTTCCATATCTGTTACCAGATGAGCAAAGTTCTGCGTTTTACATCTACTACAGCATTCAAAAAGCTGATATTTACAGCAAATTATTCTAAGTTTAGAAGTTTAGTAACATTTACGGCAAGTATATGAGCAGTAAAAATGGTTTAGAACCCAGTATAATTTGGTTTTAGGCTGATGTAAGGACATTTAAAGTGATTAACAATTTTGCTGATTGCGAATTAAAAAGTAAATACAACCCCCTGTAGAAAACACACATTAAAATGAGCCTTTTTCAAAAATGTTGACGCAAACGTTTTTTTTTTTTCCATTAAAATTAGAAGAAAAACAGAACTTCATTAACTCCTTAAGGTTTGTTAATCAGGTGACAGACACACCTCCACTTACTGTAGATCTGAAAATGACGCTAACTGACGTGAACGGCACAGGAGGGTTAAAAAAAAAAATGTCATAGTGCTTCCAGCTTGCATTTTCCACCGTCTGCAACGTCATTTAAGAAATGGCAGTTAAAGGAAACTTTTACATTAAACTAGGCAGGAATGCAAAGCACAACCCCCACACGACTAAAAGGAGGGTTTGTCTCACAAACGAGAGCGTGTGCATCATTCCGCTGCACAGCACTGAGGCACAAACAGGTCTATGTGGAAGAGTTACCTCCTCTGCGCCTCATCACAAAATAAAACGTCTGAGGTCAAAGCAGAGCAAAGCCTGAGTGGTTCTAAAACAATTCCTGTAGACAGACATAAGTTCGAGTGAATCTTTGGCCAAAAGCGCTGAAGTTAAGCGGAAGGGAAAAAAAACGTACACCTATTTGTAAGATCCTTCACATTCAACTCGTAGAAGATGCTGAGCATCGAAAACCTTGTTCAAGCAAGTTCTTAGAAGCCTGTTTGAAACTTGTGCACCTGTGGTCAACAATTATTAGATTAACGTAAACTGAGGAAACCCCTTCAATGCCAGCACACAGAAAGGTTCAGTCAGGAATAGCCATGGAGCAACAAAACCAGACGTTATTCAGCTACTGACGAAGCCAAACATGCACCACAGGAGTCGGTCGCTGCTGCAGCTAACATCATGTGGCACAAAGACACAACTGTAGACACGAAAGAGAAATTATTTGATCTTTAACTACAGGGGAAAAAAATGACAGGCATACTTCATTCTTAGAGATTTGATACACCTCCTTCAGAAAATTGCATTCTGTTTTCATTCGAAGTAACTTACGTCTGTCCAGAAGAGTTTCAGACTGAGTCACCTTGTTTTTACCACACAGGAGAGATCTAGTCTGAGATCTTGGTCCTAATTGATGTCCAGGCCAGATTATTTGGAAATGTGACTCATGTTTAATATTCATCACTTAAAATCTAGATGATTACAAAAATCACGCTAGCATCCGGTGCTGCAGACGCTGTTGATCATTCTAGTGCCTGTATCCAACATTAGGTAGGGATATTAAAATTGATAGCATAAAGCAAACTGATGATCAGTTTGCAGAGTTTTTTTTTCTCCTCATTGGTGCTGATGAGTCAATAAACTCACTGGAAGTAGCTGACTTGCAAGTTACAACAAACCATGAATAATTCTAAAATGTTAACACGTCACGAGCATGTATGTGGTTTCAGTGCCAGGAGGACAGTGTCAGACGCTTACTCATTTGTAACGAGACCAAAAAAAGTCTAAAAAAGTTCACATGTCCATTTATTCCAAAAAAGGCGATGTAAAGTAAAAGAAGACCAGAGCTGTCGACATACGATATTAATAGACTTGGAATAATGTAAATGCACCAGTTACCACAATTTACAGCCAAGCAAACAGGTTTGCAGGATCTTCAAGAAATCTCAGCTGAGTTGAATCTGATCCTTAAAACACAAAGAAGGCTGCCAGTGTTTAAAATCATTTCATCACAACAATGGCATCTTCCCACAAATTTACATGCCGCTCCATTTAACATCACATGATGGTTTCACATCCATCCTCTACAGCTTGTTTACACGCAACAACAGTATCTGCCGGCTGCCACACACCCGTTTCATCAACCGGCTCTACTCATATGAAAAGTGTTGTGTGAAAAGTGTTGAGCCCACAAACAAGCCTAAACCCAATCCAGATTGGTTTCTAGATCGCTGCCTGTGTTCAGCACTGCGAGTGTTGGCGCTGCAAGAACCAGCCAGTATTTGTTTTAGTCACCCCTGTTGTTGTGTAGCATGTTACATTTGTTTGGGGATAAACACTGCTGCTTTCTGTGCTGCCTGTTAAGACTCGTTCACACCGGGAGTCAGTTTTGTTCAACTGCTTTTATATGAAGTGTTTGCACAAAAACAGACAAGTTATTTCCAGCTATCAAACACAATGATTTGATTCTTCATAGAGCAGCAGACATCCTACCTGTAGGAAATCACCGATTTGCATTTACATTTCAGTTATGTACTGAAACAAGTGTTGCATATTCATGACTAAAGTCAGCAAAAACAGTAAAACTGTCAGCCAGTGTGCTTCCCCGGGACTGGAGGAGGGTGCGGTTTAACCAGACTTGATCAACACTGGTGTCTCCTTGGCAACGTACGCAAACAATACATCAACTGTGATTAGATTGTGATTATTATATCTGCAAAGTACTGATTGGTAAGAGGAAATGCATGACATCTTTTTCCCATCAGGGCACGGCCTATTTCAAATCAGTAAAAGCAGCCGCATATACAGAAATCTGACTGAAACTTTGGCAGAGAACCAAGTCTGCGTAGAAGCTAATTGTAAGATGTTACCTGAGAAACATGCTGGCCGACTGAATCCTCTTCCTCAGAAAATGAAATGAAAAGAACGTAGCTCAGTTTTGTCACTATACGATACATCCTTGTATGGGACTTTTTCCTCTACGGCTGTTATAAGGTCTGTGTGGGAGTTGAGGGAGTGTGAATCTGGACTTCACCTGAATCTCAAGCTCTGAGATCTGTTGCTGGAGTTCAGCCATAGCAGCAATGTTGTCAGCTTCCCTCAGCCGCACTGCCATCACCTCCTCTTTACTCTGCAGGAAACAAGTCAGAGAACAACTCAGGAGTCCAAATCTCCAACCTGACATGTTAACCTAAACTCGGAGTTGTCATTTTTTTTATTTAAAAAAAAAAAAAAAAATTCTGGGTTTTACTTCACAGAATATGCCACAACAGAGCTATATGGTTTTTCCCTGCAGTCGCAGTGCTCAGCGTTGCAGAGGTTGTACCTTGCATTCCATCTCAGCTTGTCTCCTCTTGATCTCCTGCAGCTGCACATGCACATCTTTATTTTGCGTCGTCAGTGTTTGCACGCGCTCCTGGAGGCAGCGGCCCTCCTGCTCCGCCCGTCGCAGTTGGTTACTGTGGATCTGATTCTGAATGAGCACAAGTTTGACATCATGTTAAAAATATGTATTATTTTTACTTCAGTGAATGATTGATTTAATCCAAAAGACACTGACAAAATCAGGGTGGTGAGACTGCCCACACTGCTTTCTACTGAAGTTTCTGAGTTGCATAAAACAGATGACTGCTGCCCTCTAAAGGCAGCTATGTGACAATACAGGCAGACAGCTCAACTACTGTTTATTACTCATACGTAGATCCACCCTACTGACTAATGTGTCCACACTATAGAATCCCTTTAATTTACTAAGATTAACTGAACAATTGAACATACCAGGCACTAACCTGAAACTATGGGACAGACAAAAGAATGAAAGAGCAGGTTCATGCTGTTAGAATGATAACTGACCTGTGTTTCCAGCTCCAGCATCCTCTGCCTCGTCTCTCGGAGCTCCGCCTGGGCCTCGGCCTCACGCAGTCTCACGCTCATCAGCTCGTCCTGCAGCTCGCTCAGCGCGTTCTTCTTGGGACTGTCTTTCCAGCGGCCGGCAGTGCGTGCCAAGTGACGCTGAGGAGAGGTGTGACAGTCAGTCTCCTTCAGCATCACTCAATAAAAAAAATACATCTTTGAACTGTAACCACTGTGGTTTAACCCGCTGAACCCAAAAGCCCGCTGGCAGATCTGAATGTTTTCCAAAATTACACCATTTATCTGAGCCAGAAACTGTAAAAATAGGAAGAATCGTTGGATTTTTAACTTTGTGATGGTCCTTAAACATGTCATGATTTTCTGTTTTGTCAGGAAAATTAACCAACAATAAGTTAAAAATTGTGATGTTTAATTAGGACCACTTTATTCTACATCTCATTTAAAAATTTGTCAAAAATAAACAAGAGAAATCCAAAAAATTGGTTTGGGATTTCGACTGTGAAGCCACAGTCGCATGACAAATTCAGGCTAAGTATCTTGTAAATGTTGATTCCAGGTTTTTCCCATTTTTTGTAAAATAAATGTTTTTTTTTTTTTTTTTTTACTTTTACAGTTCGTGAGAAAATGTCATACTACATTGAGGTTTTTCACTTCTCTCTGTCTAGCCATGGTTGCGTTGTTTCCATTGAGGTACAGGAAAATGATCCCACAGTAAGTAGGAATGTGACTGGAGTAGAAAACATCCAAAAACTGAGGGTTTAACCAGCAACACTCTCATTGAGATCTAGAATTTCCTTTATAGGAACGTCCTGGCCAAGACAGTCAGCACTACAAATGAATAGATTTGACATACAGACATTAAATAATTTAAATAGGGTTTACATGAAGATTTAAAGGACATTCAGGTATTGTGAAATTACAAAAATATGTCATAAGTAATCAATATCAATGTTCACACAGAATGTGTCATGTAAAGTTATTTTGGTAAACCAGCGCTTTAAGATTCAGGCAATTTTGCAACTTTGACTTTCCGTTATTTAACATCTGTTTTGTCAGCATTTTGCGCAAGTTTAAATCTCGTCAGGTACGCTATACAGAACTCAATGCCACTAGCAGTCAACAAAAGGAATGATTTATCAATTAGGTTCCTGAAATGCAGTCCAACAGTCCTGCCTGCTGAAATATTGAAGCTCACCTGCCAGTGCTCCTCCAGATCTCTGACCTGCTGTCTCAGTTCCTTCAGCCCAGTCAGAGCCTCGGCTTCCCTCAGCTTCACCCCGATCAGCTCCTCTTGCAGTCGAGCCACATTGGTGTCATCTGGTAGCGATGTGTTTCTCTGTAAAAGGTGCGTAAGAAAGGTAGGTTTTTAAAGCCAGTTCACAGGAGTGACGGGGTGCAGCTAGATCACGACTAGCTGTCCACTGATACGGGTTTTCAGTGCCCACTGGCAATATTTAGAGATGTAAGCAGCTGATGACCGATACATAATGCAGACATTGTTTTGTTGTTTGTCTGCTATTTGCACTCTAAGAAATTACCGACAAGAAATGAGACACAGAATTGTTAAACTGGCCAACTACTCGTTTTTAATCGTAATTAATTATTGATTGTGTTTTATGTTTTGTGGATTGATTTTATCTGTCTTCATATAGTTTTGTGTGAACTGTGCTATACCAATACACCAGCCTTGCCTTGCTTACTCAACCAATCGATCACTACACATAAGAATACTATGCTGGCTGACTGTGCTGGCAAAGACTTAGGCAACTCACCTTCTCCATATCAAGGATCTTGTCTTGCATTTCCTTGAGAGCACACTGGGACTCTGCCTCCTTCAGCCGGGCCTGCACCAGCTCCCTCTCCAGCTGCAGGACGGACTCCTCAGAGAACCGAGGGGGTCCCTTCTACAACCAACATCACAGTGAGTGAGTGGACACGGCGAAGCATGGCAGCAGATACCTGTGTGTGCTCACTGCAAACCAATATTGATGCCCCACAGTCTCGGCAAATTCCACATATAATATCAACGCCTGTCCACGCTCCACTACAAAGAAATGAACCTTAATTTCAGCTGACGTCGAGCACTATGCCTTTCAATTTCACGTAAGTAATTAATGAGCACTCACTGTAAAGCAAGATAGCAAATTATGTAAAACAAGGTATCACGTGCACATTATCATCTGGAATCCAACCATCAATTATTAAGAATGTTGGGTCAACAGATATGCAAGGAGAAGGGGCGAAGTGTGAAATCTGCCAGCCTGTGAGACAACTGCTTATAAATTCATGAATGCATTTCAGAGAATGCAGGAGACTGTAAATGACGACAGAACTGTGCAGTACTCCGTGTCCCAATTTGAATTCATGCATGCAAAAACAGATGATTACCCAAAGCCGTTGTGCAAAGTGAGAGAAGCCCTGCACTGCCACTGCTTGGGTTTTGTTGCTAGGTAATAATATGCCTACCGGGCGTAAGAAGACAAATACCCATGACACATCCGAAACTCTGGTCCAAACACATTTTTACCGGCCAAGGTGTCAATTGTAGCCCACCACGTAATCCTAAAATGGTCCTCCTGAGGTTGTAAACACTGCACATCACAAACAGATCTGGGACACAGCCCGGTCTCAAAGTCTCTCTTCAAACGATCTGAGCCGGTGCAACCTGTCAGCCAGGGACTCTGTGGCCCTCCTTACCGCTTGTGGCTGCTGCTGGAGCTGCCTGATGGTGCTCTTGGCCTGCTCCAGCTGAGCACTGGCCTCCTCGCTCTGCTGTTTGACCGTGGCCAGCTCCCGCTTGACCAGGTAGTTTTCCTCCGCCTCTTGAGCTCGAGTCACTTGTCCCTTTGGACATAACCAACCGAGGATGGGTGGAGTGAGCACGACAAGAAGTTAAACCAAAGAGCGGAATGGGTGGGCAAATCAGAGAAGATGAGGGATTGGGTTTTCAAAAGGACATGCTTGTTTTAACACTAGCAACATGTGATTGATATTATAATTCCTTAGCTTTTCCAGCACGATCTGTGATTTTCTTACTTTAACATTCCAGCGTGGTATTCCATGCACTTATTAAATAATGTAATCAGCTACCGTAATCTGGTTTAGTTCTTGATTAATGAGATTCTGCATTATTACTGTCCTTCACTGTGCTAAATAGGAGCATGCAATGCTAAAGAGAAATAGAGAGAAGGAAGAAGAAAGATGCAACGTAAGTCACAAGGGTAAAGAGAAAATAAGGAATATACCTGGATCAATCTATCTGCCAAGGAAGCACTTTCCTACAAAACAGAAATATCAACAAGAGAAAGCAGAGAGAGAGACAATCCAGAGGACAGTTAAAAGCACACAAAAGAACAACTGATTGTTTTAAAGAAGAAATGCAATGTTCATTTTCCCTCCAAAACGGCTATTTACAGATTGGACGGTGACATTTAGAGGAAGAAAAGGAACATTGCATGCAGGTGTGGTGACAAAGGTGCAAATAAGCTGGTGACAAAGTGAAGAATGAGGCGGTGCTGGTAACACAGACAGGTTTCAGACAGGAAAAAGCACAAGACGGCTCCAGTTAAAGCAGAGAGTGAAGTACGCTACAACGACTGATTCGCAACAGTGTTAAGGAGCAACAGTTGAGCGCCACATTATTCATACTCACGCCATATTTTCACTTATAGTGAATTTGTATTTGACCGATAGGATTTTACTGGCTTGAATTTTCATAGAAATTAATGATACATTTGAACTATTTCTAAGTTGTTTTTTCCTCCATTTTTAATATAAATGTCCAAAATGGCAAACCTTTTTTTGTCGCCACATCAATCAAACATTTCTTATAATTACTATCAAGCTTTTTGCGTGTCTCTGTCTGATTTTGGAACCCTCCTCCTTTGTGACCATCTAACGGTCTTTAATCCTTCTTTCCACAGATTCTAATTGGGATTCAGGTCTGAACTCTGGCTGGGCGGCTTCAAAACATTAGAGTTACACTGATCATTTTCTTTCGGACCATTTCTTGACTGCTTTGGCCGCATCTTTCATTTTTCACATTGTGGAACTTCTTGTACGTTTTGATTATTCTTTGCACTGAGCCACTGACACCTGAAAACACTTGGAGATGGCTTTATGGCCTTCAGTTTCCTCTCAGTGAAGGACAGCAGGCTCGCTAAACCCTTTGGTTCCAGACATGACTTGCAACTGACTAGTAACTGAGTGACTGCTACATCACATGCTTTACATTTCTATTGTAATAAAATGCAGTTGAACACGGTAGAGATTAGAACAGAAGTTGCACTGACATGGGATCAACATGAGAATAGTTATAATTCATCATTAAAACAGAGTCTTATTATTGTTTTTCACTTGTTTATGTAATATCAAGCCAGAGGAAACCTATTGGTCAAATACAAAATCAGTGTAAATAAAAATTTGCAGTGGGTAATCACAATTTGTTGCTTAACTGTGCGTGTTTTACTGAACAGCAGCATTTGGTTTTGAAGTGGTTCATTCCAGCTTTTCAATGGTTTCAGTTAGTGAAGAGTTAAAAAAGGCCCTGGGAGTTATGTGACAGAGAGCAGCAGCCTCGAGCTGGTTTTAAATAACGGACTCGTTTAGACCACAGTGTTCCTCCCTGCAGGCAAACACAGCAAAGCGGACACCCTTACTATCCATGGCAGACCTCATGCATGGTGCCTTTACCTGGCAGCAGTAGTGCCCGTTCAGAGAGGCACAACACGATGCAGGATGATACAAACAGTGCAACCTGGCATGCAGTGCTTTGTATCGACTTCAAGCATTAGGCGGCCTCGTTCACATTCCAAACAGGCTCGTTTCTGCTTCAGTTAGAGGCGTCGGGTGAGTTTTTAAGTTCTATACGTGAAAGTATTCGAGCCACAGAGACGGTCACCATGACAACCGGACGTAAAATCCAGCAATGTTTCTGACTTTATGCACAATCAGAACATTCACCACACCAGTCATCGACGGTTTATCATGGAAACCAGCAACTTTCAACTAACACAGCCCAGTTAGTGAAAGACAAGACTCCATCATTAGGAGAGATGCATGATGAATGGGTGAACACAGCCGCATGGGTTAATGTAAAGTTGATGAGCAGGGAGCAGTGTCTGATTGGTCTGTCTGGTGACAGAGCACCTGGAACACTTACTTTCTCTAGTGTGTCTATCCTCTGCTTCAGAAGCCTGTTCTCTGTCCTCAACCTCTGCAAAACAAGCAATTACAAGACCATATTACACAAATACACACATTTTGGAGTCTTTGGGACTTTTCCTTAAACTGTGTCCACGCACCTTTATCTCCACCTGTTCCTCCATCTCCTTTGTTTTGATTGTAGTGTATTCTTTCTCTAACCTGGAACAAATATCACAGAGAATCAGTAAAGATGAAAATATTAGTGTCCCTCACTAAGTGAAGATAATTTTTTTTTCCATAAATAGTACCAAACCAAACTTTTTTTTTTTTTTCCTGGAAGACAACTGAGATCTAAATTATGCTATGAAAATGTTCCTAACAATAGAAATTAAAAATAACATGATAATGACAACACAAAGCAGCCTTAATGAGAGAATTCATGTATCTGAAAAGCTCAACAAAACCAAGAAAATTAAAATCTCAGTTCATTGCAGTCATGACTGAAGGTTTAGTCTAGACCAGGGGTCAGCAACCTTAAACACTCAAAGAGCCATTTGGACCAGTTTCCCACGGAAAAGAAAACACTGGGAGCCACAAAACCTTTTTGAAAGCTAAAATGAAGATATCGTGTTTTACCTTTATGCTATGTATAAAAAACTACTGTGTATTGCATTCATGAAATCAATGAACTGCTACAGAGAAAACTAAATTTTATTTCTGCATGCAACAAAAACATTTTGAACTCGGAGAAAAAAACCCCAAAAAACGGTGGGTTGAAGGTTACGTTCAAATAAAATACTCAATGTCTATTTGAGTCATCTTCGTATTTATGAAATAAAAAGCCGAACTTAAACCATCCACCTGCAGCAAAGTAAGTGGTTGTCCTGCTGATTGCAGCTGGGACTGCTGACCAGACTCCTGACCTCCTAGTCTTCAAATTTAGAATTACATTTTAAAAACTAATGAACTAAAATAAAATACATTTAAATGAACTACTCATCATTTATTTTCCAAAGCCACAAGGCGCTGCAGCAGAGGTATAAAGGAGCCACATGCGGCTCCATGGGTTGCCGACCTCTGGTCTAAACCAATGTAGTAATTAGAGAAAAGTTTAAAGGTTTGCTTGTAAAGAAAACAAAGGAACTTGGCCAATGAATAATAAAGAATCAGAATGAGGTGTGCATTTTCTGGGTCATGTAAAAAACTAACAAAAGAAAAGTAGGAGGAAGTTGGTAGGTTATGAAATGGCAGCTCTACTTACTTTTTCATCTTCTTGGCATTGTATTTAACTTGATAGGCAGCCTGGATGACCTTATCTGGGCCACTGTCCAGCTGGTGTGGGATGACCCTCTGAAAGTGCTGAAACACACACAGGATACATGTCATACAACTATGCACACTGCTGTTTTAGTCAGGTGTTTCTCTGACCTCAAAGCATGTCAGCATGTCTGCAGTTACGAACCGGGAGGACACATGGAACAATTAACTGGGTGTGGTGGAGGTTCCTCCCTTGAGGCAGATTTCTGGTGCAAAGTGCAAAATGTACCAGAAAGTTGAGCCGCATGAGTGAAGCTATGTTAAGTCTATGGTGATATACCTGTAACATTCCCTCCATGTCGAGCTGGATGAGTTCAGCCTGGTTCATCTGAAGGATGGCCAGCCCCACACGGAAAACAATCTCCAGACCCTGAAGAACGACACCACCAGAAATCACAGTGCTGTGAGGTGTGTTTTAAATGAGGCGGAGGATTAAAAAAAAAAAAAAAAAAAGCAAAAAAAAGCAGCTACAATTGTGTCTCAACAGAGTGATGAAACTATTAAAGAGACTGTATGTTTTGGTGGTTTTCTCCACTTTCCTTTAGTGTGTTGTAGCTTTTTTTATGCATTTTAATGTTCTGCAAAATTAGAAGGGTCATGTCAAAGTAAGTTACTCTCACTCACAGAAAATACTGCTCCTTATGTGCCTTGACCACCTTTGCTTCTGCTTTTCTTTTGTTATTTATCTACATCACTATGTAATACATTTGGCTAGTATGACCCCAAAACAAAGACTGAGCAGCTGCCTCACAGTCCGCCTTTATTTTATGATTAGAGCTGCCTCTGATAGAACTACATCTCTGCCTATACAGTACATAACTAATATGACTTTGCTTTTGTGAGGCCAACTGACCAATCAGAGCAGACATGGCTTTTCAGGGTGGAGCTTAAAGAGCTGAGAGCTAAAATAGAGCATTTCAGACAGACAGCGAGAAGAGGTGCTGCAGCTAAGCTACAGTTCTGGAAAAATTATGTGTTTTCTGAACATTCTAATTCTGAATTTCTATAATTACGAACCTGTAAATCAGCATAATATGATCCCTTTAAAAGTTTACTGTAATATTTGTTTTCTCCAACAGGTGGTGCACATGGATAACCTTTCTTCAACAGTTAATTTAACCTGCATTTTATCTTCACAGCAACAAGCGTTAACATTAGATGTTTTCTACAAGATAACACGCAGCATTTATGCAAAGACTCACTCTTCCTGTTTTTAGGTTTCACATCTGCATTTTAGACACTATGACTATAAGCCACATATTAGTGACATTCAGTAAGTGCAAGTTGAAGTCGTAGCTGTGAGAGTATTTGCTCTAGAGTGTGAACACAGGAGTACAATGCAAGCTCTGTAAATAGAAAGACTGATAGGAAAAGATACGTCTTGATAGTTTTGTGTATGCAAGTCAAAACGGTTTCTCATCTAAAGCAGGATATAGTTCCCGAGAACAGCCACGATTCTTTTAAACTGACCTCACACATGAAGATATCAAAGATCCTTGTAGCAACAGGCAAAGGGAAGGAGGTGAGAAAGATGGTGAGGAACCAAGAGGAGGCATACATGGAGGTGTGAAAGCTCTGAGCCTGGAAATGTATGTGCAGCTCAGGGAGCTGCTCCTGTAAGGCAAGAAAAATCACACAGAGTCACACCATTACTACTGAACACAACAACATTTTGACAATGTGTTCTGTGTGTATGAGGTGTCTACCTGGATCATGCATTCAAACTGGTACATGCAAAGTCCCAGTTCAGCCATGCTGGGTTTGAAGAGCTCCCGTAATCTGTAGTCTTGCATCAGCTTCACAAACACACAGAATGCTTCCTCTTCTGGCATCTAGAAAACAACAGAATACATCAGTGCTCAAAATCTGCATGTTATTTAATCATACTTATCAAACTATTTGCTGAAAGCTGGTGAATCAGTGTGTTTGTGGGCATGTGTGGTGAATGGCATGATTACCTGCATGAGTAGCAGTCCTACGATGAACGCACTTCCCTGACAATAGCCGACCTCACGGTCCACCAGAGAGTATGCCTGATATAACACAGATTAGCTTCACATGAGTGTCACTGATGGTCAAGAGGACAAGTTTCTCTCAGGCTAAACTGTGGATTTACTCAATTCAACTGACATTTTTTCATCTTGAAACTATTGCTTAAGACCAGCTTTTGTTATCTATACACAAGACTATCAGTTCATCTGCACACAAACAGGTTCCTCCAAGACAAAAGGAAATGTACCTTCATGACATTGAAGAGCACTTCCTGCCCCAAGCTGTCCTTTTCCTTGAAAAACTCGTGCTCGGGGTAAGTGCGAGCAATGTCTCTGCGAATCAGCTTCTCGCAGGGTGATGTCATCTTGAGGAGCTCTGAGTACTGATCCTTGATGGGCATGTTCTGGGCATTGCACAACAGCTGCCACACTATTGCCCGAAAGTGGTGAGGAATACCTTTTCTGACGAGGTCCTGTGGAAACAGAAAAGAAAACATTTGTTGAGGTATGTGGGTAGGGGGTGTGGTTAATGCTTTCACAAAATTTCACAAAAGAATCTGTATTTACACATCATTTTGGACTATCAACATAACAACATTTCTTTTAAAAAAAAAATCATATTGGCAGCAGAGTGGTTGCACTGAGCACCACACTGGTAAACCCTGGCTTATGATGAATAGATTTGAACCGCCTCTCCTCTATGTCAGGGTTAATAACAAGACAAAACAGATAGGCAGGTCAATATAATAATGTTTGACCAAATGGATTTCTGGCACAGGTATTTCTGTTGGGATAAGAAGTTCTATCTTCCAACACATTTTGATTTCAAACTTTTCCAGACTCTGGACTTCTTGGTAGATTTTTTGGACCATATTTGACATCTAAGTACAAATGGCTAGATGTTTATTATGTTTACATAACTGCTTTAAAATCCTACTGTTAACACAGATGTCACATTCTGGTTATGTATGTTATACTGCCAAAAAAGAAGATTGTATAGCTGGTACCAGTAAATTACCATCAAACCAAGGAAAGTGAAAGCATTTTATTAAAGCTGTCACAACATCGCTGCCCAAATAGGACAGATGCTATCTACACTCATTTTATTTTTCATTGTCATATTGAATAAACTATTGCTCCATCCAAGCCTCTTGTAAATAAACACTAAAAATGAAGAGAAAAAGTCAAATAATTTAATTTTCATGGCATTTGTGCAGTGCTGTTTAGTCACTGAGTCCATGGAAACTATGACAAATGCAGCCCTACAGGTGCTTTTTACCCAGAAAAGCAAACTACAACAAAACTAATTTGAAAACTAAGTTGTTGATATATGTCAGGATTTTGTGCGGTTATGAGGCATTTGTGGGGAGGAGCTAGACTGAGGCAGCTCTGCGTAGGAGTGTGCGTTTATTCGCCTTGCATTCAACGACATCAAGCTCGCTCTGACCTGCGCTCTCTCACACGGTGGTAACCATTTAGGCTCCCACCGCAATGATCAATATATAGAAAACACAACAGAGGGAACAGCCTTGCCATAAGCTCTCTCTTTTTTCTGCTCTGAAATTGAAAACTATTTTATAGTGTTGCTATTGAAACTACACAGTGATTTAAACAGAACACTGTGTTACAGACAGACTAAGCTGATTCCTCTCTCACACAAGTCATGCATCTGAATCCCACTGAGAGGAATCTATCTCACTGTTGCTACCCCTGCAGTGGGCGCTTTGAACCCCGAATGTTTTCCCACTGCACTGTTTATTATTGAAACCTTTCTCTGCAGAGTGGTTAAGGACTCTATTCATTGGGTGTTTGCTTCAACAACACTTTGGCGCTGCACCTAAGCATAGATGTGGATAAAACTCTGACTTTGGAAGATAAAGACTGATCTTTATTTTAGACGAGGAATTTAAATGTACATTTTAGCAACGACTTTTTCTCACATCTGCATGCAGACAACAGAGAGTGTGAGAAAATATGAACGCTACAAGATAAAGTGATAAATAAATAAACATTCTGCCATTTCAGCACAGTGTGCATCACATAAGAATACAGTTTCCACAGCCAAATATAATCTTGTCAGTGAGGTACTTTGCAGACTGATTTGTTTCCATGTATTACTGCTGATACAATTTGATTAAGCCACATCCTGTGCTGACAGGGAACACTGGTCTTTCCTGCTGTGATGACTGTGTGTCTGTGTGTGTGTGCGTGTGTGTGCATCTGGTGAGTCCAGGGTGCATCTGGAGCAGAGGTCCACCCACACAGGCGTTCAGCAGGGGATCCCTCTTCCCTCTCAGAGGTCAGACAAGACAAACTGTGCTTTGTTCTGTACTAGAACAATGCACTATGTCATATCTTGACTGCTGAATGAAAGCTGCTCTCTGAGCCACACCATTCCTTTATTCACTCTTGTTTTCTATTCCTAGGGGAAATGTATATCACACATCTAAGATTTAATCAAACACTTCACTAACCTAAACAGATTTGTCTTTGAACGCATGACAACTTTCAGTATTTAATATTTCCCATGAAGTACTGAAAGGACGAACACATCAGGGGTTTTGCTGACAAAGCACAAAAAAAACAACTCAAGGTTCCTCCCTTCGTGCAACAGAAACTGGGTTTCACTGCAAGCCAAGGGGAAGAAAACATCAATTTTGTGGAGGCCTCAGCAGTTATGATTCACATCCCAGACCGGCTGCACCCATCTGGTCATTACTACTTCTGTTAAATTACATAATAACACCATGCATGTTCACAGGTCCCTCGCAACACTTCCCCATTTACACACGCAGTGACAAGAACAACAGCATCCCCACCCCTGCAGAGGACATCAGTCTGTCAGTGCCATTTAATTATGAGCGTCATCTTCAACGGCAACTCTACATCCACACATGGTTTTGTACGTTATTACAAAACAAAGAGACAGGCTTTGACAGTGTGACCAATGTGTGACTGGCTACCAACAAGTTTGCATTTCTCTCTACTTCTAGTCATGGTTGTGCTGTTTTAAATGGAGGGGCTGGACTTTATATTGCAGTGAAAAATGAGTCCATAGTGACTACTGTGACTTGTTGATGTTGTCAGGTAGTCCAACACAGTATTAAACAGACACTGTGTTGACACATATCTCCAATGTACACGTGTAGTCGCTGTCGCTGACAGTGACTCGGCATAGGGTCATCACAAGACTTCAGAGAGTAACCGTAGAAACAAGCAACCTAAAATTAGCTTCAAATGTCAAGAACGAAAATAACAAGCACAAGGACAACACATAGGGTCACCTAGGACAAAGATAGCCTTAGAAATGATTACTAGACCAAGTAAACATTCAAACAGATAGAGCCATTGTAGCATTCTGGCCAGAGCTTTATACAAATGCCAGTGAAATGCATGTGTGTCACAAGAGAGATCATGTAGCCTCGATTTGAACCATCTTACAAGGTTTAATATCATTCCACCACATAAACAGTGTCACAGGAGCTCCTGTCTCGTGGAATAAGGCATACTGAATATCACTCTTGTTAAAAAGGGAAAATGGATACAAAAATTCATGTCTGAAGCTGAAATCAAATGACAGCTGCACAGACACCTTATCCTTGTCTCCAGCAGACAAGTCAAATGTGTCTCAGTAAGCCTGTGATGCAGTCGCGTTCGAGTAAGCTCTTAAGCAGGTCTGCACGAGACCCGACAGTCAGGTAGTCATGTGCACTAGTCTCACCTTAAGCTGCTTCTCCTTCTTCTTGCGCACCTCCTCCCACTCGTTGACAATCCGTCCCCACAGGATCCAGGAGTCCTCCTCCAGGTGGGAGAGGTTGGAGGAGGCGGAGGAGCTGGACACCAGGGACGAGCCGCTGTTTCTCCTGGAGCCGTTCATGGAGCGCAGCGACTTGCTGTCCGTTTCCAGCAGCCTGTAGTGAAGGTAGGAGGTGAGATATTATGGTCACACTTCATAAACACCATTATTGTTGTGAATTTGTGAATGTGGGTAGCAGATATTGGAGAAAACCTAAAAATGAGTTAAACCTTTTTTGAAGTGACACCCGAACACACAGAAATGAGCAATAACACATTTAGATCCTCTTAATGAAACTGTGCTAAATATCTTGTTGGACGCTGTTTGTTTTGAGGGATACATACACAATAAGCTCTTAATACATACATTGTTTTGGTATTTTACCAACTGCAGGATACTAAATAAAAAATTATTTTCTAACGTCCATTATTGTCACTGTCAATGCTGTGAAACATCAGTCAAATTAATCCACTACAAGGTCAGGTAGATCTCACATTCTTAACATCAGTTTGTTAATAAACATATTTAGTTAACAACAAAAAAAGCATATGCATCCATGATGCCAAGTCTTTCATCAAAACAGATCCTGTTTACCCATGACCACAATGGCAGGATTTCTCAAACCACTTTGCAATGGCAACACTTGTAGTTTCCTGGTTAGTTGCTATGCTCTCATCTGACCAAATTCTCATTAGTCCGACAATCTTTGGTGATACTTTTATAAGAAGAAAGGTGCTACATCAACAGCTTTCCAGAATTAATCCATTGCTTTTGGCGGTAGAAATAACACCTCCGGTTTTTCACAAATTTCAGCTCACTTCACCTAATGAAGGACTGCCAGGTCTGACTTATTTTTCGTCTACTGAATGTTCACTTGGGGTGGGCTCCAAAATAACCGATATCATGTCAAAACAGTTGACTTTGTAGCTGCATTTAGTTCAAACAAATGGCCATTAAGTCAAGCATTAACTTTGCAAAAAGCAGTTTGCATAACACAGCTCAACAACGAACAAGGCAGATCTTATAAAAACAGCGGGATAACTTGTCTGTGTTATATTTCTAAACAGGTCTTGTGCTTCAACCACCAGTCTATACGTTTTTTGTTTTTTTTTTTTTAGAATTGAATGAATATGGACAAATGCATGCTGGTCTGCTTCAGTCAGTTTCAGTAGAAAATAACCAACTATTCACCTGGACAGGTCACCAGTCTATCACAGGGCTACACTTGGAGACAGACAATCAAGCACACTCACATTCACACCTACGGACAATTTAGAATCACCAATTAACCTCAACATGTTTTTGGACTGTAGGCGGAAACTGGAGAACCCGGAGAGAACCCACGCTGCACGGGGAGAACAAGGAGACTCCACACAGGTAGATCCCAGGCCAGGATGCAAACTGAGAATCTTATCAAGGTTGTTGAAGTTATATGGCATCCAAAGATGAGAAAGAAGTGCTGGCATGCATAGCTTTTCCCTAAACAACCATCAGATCTCAACCCTACTGAGTAGAAACATACCACAGCATCCTAGACACGGCAGGTGTGCTAATATGAGCCTTCAAATTCTGCCAAATCTAGAATCAGAGCCAGATGACTTTCAAGCTGTAACTCAGGCAAACAGACACACATTTCCTGTGTTTAAATTAAACCCGTCTATATTTCCAGGTCAGTGCTAAAAAGGAAAGTACTAATTTGAAAATCTCCTTTGCTGATCTATTACAGGGTTGCAAGGTGTCTCGGTGGTTAGCACCGTCGCCTCGCAGCTAGAAGGTCGCTGGTTCGTGTCCCGGTTAGGATACCTGGGATCTTTCTGCGTGGAGTCTCTATGTTCTCCCCGTGGAGACACCTGGTGACCTGTCCAGGTGTCCCCTGCCTTCACCCTGAGTCAACTGGGATAGACTCCAGCCCCCCTTGATCCTAGTGAGGATTAAGCGGTGTATAGATGATGGATGGATGATCTATTAGCGTTTTAGGACTAGAAATCAAGCCATTGTATCACAGTGACTAACTAACTGCATAAGCCTGAGAATTAGCAATTAATCTCTCAAATGAAGTCAACAAGTTCAATAGTTGTTCAGACTAGTAAACCTGTAAAACAGTTGGACTACTCATCTTGGGTTTTCTCATCAGTACTCAGTCACTATGTGAAAATAAACAGAGGCTTGGAGGGGGATTTAGCAACATTCTCAATTAACATAAGCCCTAAAAATCCTCTTGTTCAATTTTTTTTTACAACAGTAAGCAAGTTAATGCTGATCAGCTTGAAAGATCACACAAAAAGGATGCAAAACACTTCCATTAAGAAGAGAGTTGCCATTTATTTCAATTCTGTTGGCAGCAGGTGTAAGAGGCTGAAAAAAGCCCATCCAGCAAAGGTCAGTAAAATATTTCCATCCATGTTTCACATCAGAAGAGGCTTTCTGAGAACAAAAAGCTCAAGCTACGTGTTTTTCAGCCGCTCAATCTAGCACTGCATCACTCTTATCAGTCTGTCACTGGGGTTGCTGACAGAGAGACCTGATCAAGGATCAGCACGCAGAGAAAAGAAGCCGTGACTCCCAACCTGTGTGACACAGAGAAGCTTATGAGACACAAACAAAGGCTCAGACACCTGATCTCGGAAAAAGGCTGGAGCCTCTCCACTGGAGCTGTGACGTCACTGAGCACGCTCCAAGAAAGGCTAGGGTTACAGCCAAATTTGGGTTACGTGGGTGGGAGTATGGACGGCCCGAAAAAACTGCCTGCAAGAGAGCTTCTTCACTCTTATTCAGCTTTGACGTGGAACTAAAAAGCTATTAAAGGTACATCTTAAAACTAGAGTCTGGCAGGATTTACCAGTTTCTCAAGCACTTCAGTTAGCCTGTGACAAATGATCATACACACTACAGTACCAGGTTACACATGGACCTGAACATACAAACAGCTCTGCTAATAATTCACCAGTATTCAAACAAAGGTATGAAGCTTTAAGAACAGAAAATACAGAAGAACTAAAGAAAAATACTGTTGTTTAAGGAACATTTGAAGTGATTAAAGTTACATTTTGATACATATTTTGGGACTGGGACAAAAAGCAAAACCATTAAAAGGTACATTTTCTTTAAAAAAAAAATTAAACATCCTCAATTTGTAAGTCATACAGCAAACTAACTTACATGGCAAATTACTACCACCTTACCAAGACAAACTCATGATGTATTCCACATGTCTCTGGTTTCTAGGAACTCTGGAGCGCTGGCATGTCTGATTTACACATTGTAGTGCAGGACTGGCTCGTCTGTGTGACACTAACGAATGCTGATGCCTTTTATCAGCTCTGTAGGGTACAAAGGCCTCACCAAACACACACTTGGTAAGCAATTGCAGGATCTGTCACCGTATCTGTCATACACGAATATCAAAGTCCTCCCTCCTGTTGGTGCTTCTGTCTGGTAAAGACATCAACGACAAATGATAAGATTTGCGCATTAGGTAAGTGTCATTATGTTGCTACAACAAAGTACAGAAAAACTTAAAGGGCAAAGTTGTGTGTAAGAGCGAAAGCAGGGTCAAAGGGTGGATGAACTATAAAGTTGGCGACACATAAACGTCTGTTGACCAGATGTAGGTGTGCTAAGTGCTACGTAATAGATGCTACACACAACACTAACTGTTGTTGCACTACAGGCTTACTCAGACACACAGAATTATTATTCATCATCAATACTAATTACTAGCAATCAAGGAGACTGATATTTGGAACCAATAAGCATTTGTAGTAAAAAATTCAAGGTTTGGGTTTCAAAATTTAGAAAAATACAAACTCAAATACAAGCCTGTGTTGAAAAGTATTTACTCATTTATGCATTCAATATGTTTAATTAACCCTCTGAATGCCAAAACCTGCAGATGGGATGGAATTGTGTTTGTAAACGAACCAGAATCTGCAAAAGCATCAGTTCAACCAAGAAGCCGTGACTGACTCAGCTGTGCTTAACAGCAGTGTTTACAAAGCGCAGTTGAAAAGTATGGAAACAAATTAAAGAAATGTAAGTATTTAAATACCTACAGTATGTACAGTCACAATTTTTCAAGGATTGAAGGCCTTTATTGGTCACAAACACAGTTATACATGGTATAACACGCAGTGAAATGCGTTGTGCACCTGTTCCACACCGAAACAATAATAATTGTTTAAAAAAATGAATAAGAATAACGATTTGTTTCCCCATCTCATTTTATAATTGGCCAAAAAATAAACTGTTGGCAAAAGATTCTGCAAAAGAAAAAGAAAATCTGTGCTCCTCGTTGCAGCTGAGGAGGACTTTATTTGTGGTGAAAAATGAGCCAACAGTGAGGAAAACTGTGACAAAAAGAAACTGCAGAAACTGCTCTGGGTTCAGAGGGTTAAAGAGAACTTTTCACCATTTATCCTTCAGGGTTGATAGGCTCTTGATGTTCAACCAATCAGGCAGTGCTGTGGGTGGGACACTGCTCAATGTGACTACAGCTGGAGAGAGGCAACTGCAGTGCATTTTTAAATTCAATTATTTTACGGGGAATCACATAAAGGGATCCAAAACTCATCCAGGTCGATAATCAGTTGACCCCTAATTACAACATTTTAATTTGGCATTCTGGAGAAGTCGCTGCTGCGGGCGTACCGATGAGTCAACGATCTCTGCATCCAACAGCGCTTTGCTGTCTTCTTCACTGGAGTCAACTGTGACACAATCGCCAACTCTGAGCTGCCCGTTTGGTTTCTATGCTGACACAGAGCGCACTAGCCATGGGAGAGAGCCGCAACAGAGAAAGAATTCACAAAGTTGGCAGTGGACTTGTGTTGCGTCATCCTCTAACAGTACTTTAATCTGATGTGAACACTGAGCACCTCAGGGACAGCACGCAGTGAATTCCTCTCAATTTACAGCACTCTCCCTTGCTGATCCAATATTCAGATAAACCCTTCTACAACGAGGCATGCGGTTTTTTGGAGTCGACTTCTGGAGCCGTCAACAAACTCCGGGTCTGGTTGCAAGAAGCAGCTTTATTGAGTTGTATGTTCAACTTTGATGATGAACCAGCCCAAAAAAACCTCCCACTGCAAATGCACACCTCAGTTTAACGTTTGATTTTTTTTTTTTTTAAATGACAGCCTGGAGATTCTGAAATATCCCGCCAAAGGAAATAAGGCAGGCCGAGTCTTCTTTTAACTTAAAAGGTATTTTTAAAAATATTTCTAAGTTTAAAGTGGCTTGTTTAGTACTTCGTATTTATCTTTTATTGTAAATTTCTTTTTTTTTTTAGGTACTTTACTCTCTTTTAGTACGTTTTATGTCACATGAGATGACACAATAGCTTGCTCTGTAAAGCACTTTATAGCTTAAGTGCGATACAAATAGAGATATTATTACTAATGGACAGTTCAGCTGTGTGTGCAGCTGCACAGTTTAAACCGGTGGATGAGTCAGTCCTAAACAGGTCTATGGCTTGTGTGCAGACCATCGCACACAAAGAGTTAAAATTTTCAGCCTGAGCTTGTTCTCATTCAAACTGTGTTTAGCCTGCCAAAGACGAACCGCCAAAGAAATGATTGACAAACGTACAAACTTGAATTTATGTGAGAACACAGTGACAAAGGTGGCCAATTCCTACAAGAACAAAAAGTCCCCTTTCTTAGCTAAATGTTTAAAGACAACAGTCCGCAAGTACCATACAAACTGCTGACTGGTAAACTTTCTTCCATCTATAGTTTACGGCGTGCAAGCTACGACCTGTTGGACGTCACTCACGTGTCAGTGCAGATCAGGAGGGGGATGGGGAGGATTTGCAAAATGAGTCTGTGCCAGTTGAAGTAGCATAGTATGTGTGTGAGGGAGAGCATAAACCCTCAAGCAAAACTAATAAAAAATAGATAACGATCACGGTTTGAATTCTGATGTCACAATTTTAATCAAAGCATTTTTTAGCCATTTTTTTTTTTGTCACATTAGAGTTAATAAGAATTAATAATCGCGTGTGACCTGCACAAACAGGCCAGCAGCCACTGTACGTCCTGAACTTGTTTGCCGTGTGCAGAAAGCTGATGATACTTGATGAAGAAAGCCATTTTCTTTTATTTTGATGGTCACAGACCCCTGAATTCATTCCCTGTTGCCATGTGTTTTCCCATCACCTTTTGTCATGCGTTTTCCCACCTCCTGTCGCAGACACCCGATTCCACCCCCTGTTGTTCATTGTCCCCTTACCTCCTGCCATTTGATTAGCAACTGTATGCTATCAGAACCCCAACTCCACCACCCGTCTGGTCACCAGACCCCGTTTTCATCACCTGTGGTGCATTGCCCCCCCCCTACCTCCGGTCATTTGATTAGCAACTGTATGTTAATTTACCTCTATTCACCTCTGTATTTACATACAGACCCCCCTTACCCTCTGACTTACCCTATAAATGTGTGACCCTGCAGATGTTCAGGGTTGGTCCACCTTCACAGACTCATGGTCTGTGTTGGTGAGCCCACCGTATACCGGAATACTAATTAACACCCACTACAGCAAACTTCACATGAGGACTATGAGTAAAATTTCTTCAACATATTGTACAGCTTTTTTTACATTTCTGAACATTTTGATCTGTCAAAAGCTGACAAGTATACGTTGTGCCGAATATAGAGATTCAAGTCTCTATAGCACAGACCCTGCTTCCCATTTTTAACCAGGAGGGTTAATATTCGATAAACTCAGTACAATCAGAGCTTCTTCCATCAGGACTTGAATTAAGGCCATCATGAGCCAGACCAAACAATACCAAACTGGGTCAAACTCTAATTTCCTGTGCCATTAGCATGCTAAATCCTATGTACTTAATTACTGCTCTACATAAAACAAGGTTTATCTATGGTACTAATGATGAGGTAGGTGGTCGTGCTGAGTGGTACCATGTTAACTGCTGGCTATGGGCTCCAGTAGTACTTTTATGTTTCTGATTTTTACATTTAACCAGAAGCCTATAGGTACATTGTAATTTCATTTTTGTGTAAACGTACTATTTAACTACCATCTGCACAAAGAATTTTCTTTTAGGAGCAACTACGTGAAAGAAATGTAATGAACAGAAATCACACGCTGGTGTAGTTCAATGTGTTAAACTACAAAATCAGAGGAAATATTCTACATTGTGAAGATACTAGAGCTGCAGTCAATCAAAGTAGATCTTGGCGGACTGAAATCGTACCTACTCTTTAATCAATCAATTGGTGGCAGGGGGGGAAAAAAAAATGCATGATGTCCCTAAATGAACTAAATGGGCCACCGCGCACTGAGCATTCCTGCTAGCCGTATTAGCCAAAATGAATGATAAAGCAACATAAAGGGTACTAAGAAAATGTTCAGTAAATTTTAAATACGTTAGATCCGGCAGCCGCCATTCTGTTGAGACAGTTCAAAGTTGTGAAAACACGAAGGTGTAGACAGGTAGCCTGTTTCCTCTGCTGCTAAAAACTATAGATTAATCCTGGAAGACAGTTGATGGAGCACTTTTCTGTTTATGAGAGTAACACATGGAGATTGCTGCACTAATGAGAATTTGACTGCATTAAAACATATCGACAAGCCAACCTGGAGACGACAGCAGCGCAGAGTGAAAATTAACTTTTTGTGCTTTTGGAAGATGTGAAAATCCAAGAACCTGATCTTGTGATTGCCTGCCAACCAGTCAGACTTGTCTCTACTCCTGTGTAACAACACCGCTTGTGGTATTAAACCGCCCTTTGAAGAAAGTCTTCCCTGTACCACATAATCGTAAATCAAACACAGTTAAGTTGATGGGCTAAAGACAGACGGTGCAAAGACAGACTGCTTACCTGTTCTGCTCCTCGAGCTTGGCAAGCAGCTCCACATCATCGGGACTGAGCTGCGCCGGCGAGGACGGCGAGAGGGCAGGCGAGGACAGAGAGGTCGAGGAGGAGGTAGCAGTGGTCTGCAGGGATGTGGGCGTGGCCACCTGGCTAGCCATCTGACTGACCGTGTGGGACACCGAGTTCTTCACCCATGAGAGAGTAGAACTCAGCTTTCCAGCAACCTTGTCTGTCGCCACCTGCAGAAGATGGAGACGGAGCACATGTAAAATTCAGCACGGAGGAGCTCTTAATTCATTAACAATATCAGCTATTGCTTATTCAGTGAATAAAATATTTATCAAAGCATCTAGTTCCTGCTAGAACGTCAATACATCCCAACACCCTTGTAAGTGCTACATTACCGATTTTGTTAGAACAGCAGCTGCAGTCAGTTGGATCGATACTGCTGCTTAGTTTCCAAAGTCAGCACTGGCAAATGAATTTGTCTCTTTCTGATACAACGATCAATGCTTCAAATGAGTTGCTCTTATTCCAGTAAAAGTGTGTTGAGTAAGGACTGAATCACGACAATCGATAATGTTTTTCTGATGGTTCATTTCTTTTAAAAGAACATTTACTTTGACTTTTACCGACACAGTGCACAGGTATAGTCCTCTGCTTTCTGTCTTATCTGACACTTTAGCTTTAAAGACGAAGAGATTGCTGTGCATGACACGTCACAACACTACGGAAAAAAAACGCTACAATCACATTTCATGGGATACTACTAACAACGGCACAAAGAATGACTAACAAGTACTAGGATTAGTGCGTAGAAAAGGAAAATCAACTATCATTTAGAGAAATTATAGCAGCAGAAATAATGAAGGACCATGTGAGAAACCAGCTCACTGCAGGGCATCTTCTTCACATTCCTACCTGCTATTACAAATAATCCAAACTCGCCAGCTTTCAGCTGCTTCCAACGAGGAAATCCAGCGTGTGCTCATTAAAAGACCATTTTAAAAATGTACTTGTATAAGATCAAACACTTTATCTGATATATTCCTCTCTGCTGAACCTTCGACTGACTTTACAACACACTGCCCTCGAGTCATACGATGATCATATTCTCAGGAAGGGTCAAAGTGCTCCACAAAAGATAGGCTTTCTTCAAGTCTCCTGCTGAAATAAGTGTACAGCAGGAAGTGTAACTCTGTACTCAGCAGAAACAAATTCACCGCACACCTGAGAAAAAGACTTGCCTTCAGTTTCACCCCAACAGGAAGCCTGGATACTGCCACAAGGCAGGAAACCAATCATTTCATGCAGTACACTAAAGAATATGATGAGTCACTTCTCTCTGAGTACTAGATCTACAAAGGACCAAAAAATAAAGCACAAGGAGAGAAGACAAGAGGAGAAGTAAAAGATTGTGGTAAATGCGGTGATAGGAATGAGCTACAGTAAAGAATGGAAACATGTTAAGCTAAGCATTTTCCTTCCTGTACACAGAGACAGAGACATTACAGTTCAGACAGTATATATGCATAGCATCAGCATGAAATAATGTGAGGTCATGGTGCCTCAAAAACTAATGACTGAAAGCAAAGGTTTGCTACATCCTCAAAAGGTAAATCTAAAAAAAACACAACAAAGGAGTTCCCTACAACCTATTTAACTATGAAGCTCAATGTAATGAATCTCAGGTTGACATCTAAGTGTAGACTTTTTCTCCTTTTGACAGAAATCATAACATCTTGTCAAAACCAATATTTTTAAGTCCAAAATATTTAAAACAATACTGCTGTGCATGATCGATGTACGTATACATGCCCCTCAGGCTAAAAGTTTCCAATTTAGTTTGAAAATGTGACATAAATATAAACTTGTAAAGCATTTTCTGTCTGCGCCTGTCAGTGGGTTATCACGATGAAGCTTGATTTATACTCCTGTGATGAAGGTACACAAAGCCTACGTTGCAGCCTCTGCAAAGTGGCTGACACAACTGTAAACCTTTATGCTTGTGTGCTGGTGGGCATTTGTCGCATTGCAATTACACCACCAAAACAGTGGTGCCTCTATACCACTGTATTAAGTTTCTCTTTGTAATTCAAACAGCAGCAGCTGATCCAGAGTTGGAGCTAATAAATATTGAGCAACAGTTGCTTTAATCAGAATGACAGCAGTGCTGGAAAGAGATAAGTGCATGGACCAAAAAAACTGAACACTGCTACACTGGTAGAATACTGGCAACTGCTGCTGCACTATGAGCAAGCAAGAAACAATTACAGCCCGTTGACATTTTCTTTTGCAGAAGCATTACTTTTGTGCACATCAATACGTCATGTAAACACGACACATTACTTTGAAGCGGACCAAGCAGTCCAGTAACAGCTGTTACAGTTAAGTTACAGCTTTGTACAGAGGTATATATCAAGCTTAAAAGCAGGCATAACAATATGTTCCACTACACGAGAGACCTGATGTTCTCTGCAATTATGTGGAAAAAATATTAACATAAATCACTGTCAGCAATGGAAATCAGCCAAAATGAGTTGGAAAATATCTGCATATCCAACCAAAATCCAACATCATGCATTCATACAATTAAAGATCTGGTAACTTATTCATCATAAAAAATGTGGTATGTATTATCATCATGAGTCATAAGTAATATCATATAGAATATCAATACAATATACATGATGCTACAAGGGGCTATTAGAGGTTTCAGGGACGTCTGCCAAGTCTATTCTGGGATGGAGAGAAATAGGGAGTTGGCAGACCAACTTTTATTTTCAATACAACACCCAGGCCCATGACCGGTCACTGTGGGGGGCATATTTAATGGCCATTATCAACACTACGACAAGAGAGCTAAACTAACAGATGCTCATCCTGTAGACCTCGAGCATGGCTGCAATAAATCACCATGGATGAAGGACATCAAGCTGAGAGATAGATAACATTTAGCCTGCACCAAAGGCATGCTGAAAGCAACAGAAGGTCTGGAGAGTAAGTGCACGAGAGCAAAGTATTATCATTATCACCACCGATATTTTATAATTCTTACTGTTATTTTAATAATCTTACTTGATTTAGTTATAATTAGTACTACTTTGGCAAATGTATTACACCTCAACAATTCTCTTTTAACATTTAGATTCTTTTTCAATTCAAAAAGATTTTTAAAAGGGAGATTAAAAGTTTGGCTTGGCAGAGTTACAGTTTAAACATTATACAAAGATCACAGTACTATCACTGAATTATAACTAAGCCAAATTTCTCCTTGCATGATTTCTTACAATACAGCTAAAACTGATTTCCCATTTTCCATGCAGGCCACCCACTTAGGTATGAACTATTAGATAATTTAAAAGACTTAGTCCTAAATAGAGTCTCTATTTAGGACTAAGTCTTTTAAATTGTCTAATAGTTCATGATATGGCTCTGATATGGCTCTAACTCTGTACAGTGCTCACACAATGGCTTGCAGGTTGCATTTCAGACCTGCTCTGAACATTTCACTTCAGACTGCCATAAGACAAATGACAGAATTCTCACCAGTAACACGTATATCCTTCTTCTGCAAACAACAACACTATCCAGTGGTGTGTCCACCGAAATGCTTTCTCATTCTGCTGTAGAGCTGCAACTAACAATCATTTTTTGTAGTTAATTATTCTGTTGATTATTTTCTTGAATAATAGATTAGCTGTTGGTCTGAAAAACGTAAAAAATATTGTGAAAAATGTCCAAAAAAAAAATCATAAAAAATGTCAATTAGTGTTTTCCAAAGTCTAAGAAAGCATCCTGAAATGTCTTGTTTAGTCCACAACCCAAAGATATTCAGTTTGCTGTCTGAATAGAGAAATTGAAAGAAACTGCTGATTCTGATAAATTGCACTCCCTAATTTGTACCTTCCTTGGATGTTTCTTTTCACCCTACCACAAGCTTTGTGCAGCACTGAGCCAGGCCAGCATTGTGTCCATATTCTATCCCTTTGAAAGCAAAAGAAGAGAATGTAAGAGCATGTAGGTTCTTTTAAGACGGACTTCCAATGTGAGCTGCCATGCAGAACTAAGTGAGGAGAGAAAAGACGAACATGTACAGAAAACATGTGAACCCATGTGAAGTAGTGCTTGCTATATCTACATGTGCTTAGAAAAGATCTGATGAACAGCCCAGATTTTTTAACTTAATAAACCTTGAAAAAAAAAAACAAATCCTCGTGTGTCTTATTGTAGGATTGTTTTTGGTTGACTAAAAATGCCCTGAGTACCACATTTAGGAAGCAACATATGAGAGAATCTAAAATTTAATCAACTCGGGACCAGAGACAGTCATGCTTTTGACAGATGCCAACGTCCAGGTGGCCTTAGCAGACATTCCTTCTAGCAAGCTGAGCCAACTGAAGCAAGGCTTCCCTGTAAATCCTGGACACAGAGATTGTTGCTGCTTTTGTTTGCCAAAGAACTCAAAGGGGCCCTGAGATGCAGTGTGCATGGCTAATGAAGCCCACAGCAAGGCAAGGCGAAAGCCTCAGCGAAATAACTTCAAGGCGATTGGGTAACTAAGAAAGACCAAAGACAGAACCGAGACATATTTCCTTTTTGCTCAGCCCAAATGCACAGCACCTAACAGACACCTCTGAAACCAGGAAAAAGGCACGTCACAAGCTTCTCAGCCAAGGCAAAGTTTCAGTTCAGAAGATTTTTATAGTCACCTTCTGAGCAAAAACTAATTATTTAGTCTTTCTCCATTTCAGTCGTCTTCCATGTTCAATCTCTGGGCAGTGAATAAGAACAAACTAGTCCGGCCCAGCAGGAGAGACCATGGTCATCTTCAGGGAACCATGACAACGATGTGCAGCATGAGGGCATTAAATCACAGGCCTGGCTTATAATAACACACTAAGGTGGAAAGGTCTTCTACTCCACACACAGGGAGAACCTCAGATTTTTTCCAGTGTACTATCAGGATTTCAGTGGTCTTCCAGAAGGATATTGGTCTGCATACAGCCACATAATGACGGCTACTAAAATTTGGTTTGCAAAAAGTGGCTTGATATTGTATTTACTTTGATTTATTTTAGTTCTTAAATCTTAGCTTTTCCTGTTTGCTTAATTCAAATTTGAATGTTTTTTCTTTCTTTTTAAACATTTTAATGTAATATGTAATGTACTTCTAATTGCTTTTGTGTATAAAATGTGCTTTACAGATAAAAATGCCTTGCCTTATAGTAGTATAGGAAATGTGCTGGACTATTTTCATGCAGTAATGGCAGCACTTAAACCTCAGCCTTGGCTACTTTATTCTGAAGGAGAGACAGCTAGAGTCGATCTAAGTATGTATAATCGATGTCTACATTAGCGACTGGCACATGGTCTTCAGCAGGCTCCTAAATACAGTAGTCCCATTGATTTATTTATTCATGTGCAGCAGATACAACCAGAACGTGTCAGATGTTGTGATTCTAATGTGTAACGGGGCGATACTGACAGAAAACTGCTCCACCACAAGCCTCTTTCACAAATGATAGTCAGGAAAATCACAGGTGAGGTTAGTAACATAATCGACGGCTGCAATTAATTTGCAGTTGTATCCAGGCTTAACAAGAAAACAGCTGACTCGTGGTTAATTCTATTTTGACGCTGGTGATTTTCCTGCTATGACACAAAAAAAATGCGTCTATATAGAAAAAACTGCAAAGACACTTTGTGTTTGACTTTTTGCTTTCAATACTAGATGTCAGTAACAAGGTCTTCTAAGGAGGAAAACCACAGTAACTTAAATATAATGTCCAAAAACAGAGGTAGCATTTATCTTGGTCAGCTAACAGGTAAATATTGTTGTATCGCAATACTGTAATGTCTGGAGTCCAGTAAAAGTGGGTGGAAAGCATGTTATATATACCTCAGCAAATCTTCTGCTCCTCTTAGTGACATGAGATTTCTTCTAACTCCTTCATGTACTCTGTGTTCACAGCATCTCCAGACCTATACTAAAGCCAGGGGACCTGAGTAAAGCTTGTGTCCAAACAGTAACAAGTGTGTTCTCCAACATGCCCATCTCTTTTCTTCTCTGACAGGCACAACTTACAAAATAAAGAAGTGAAAAGTTGTTTAAATACTGTAGCATCTGGCCCCGGCATCCAGGAAATCATTAGAGAAGTAAAGGCAACACTCAGTCAAGTGTCAGTAAAGGCTCTAATTTAGGCAGTGTGACTGAAGTCAGATAACAGAAAATACCACGTTTAAAACTGTAACAATTAATCGATTAGCCGCAACCTATTGATGATTGGAAATTATTTTGATGATGGATTAATCAGTTTGAGTAATTACTGAAAGGAAAAAAAGAAAATCAAGATTGTCCATCAATATTTCCTGGCTTATTTTCCCCTCTATTCAGACAGTGAACTGAACAGTAAGCTGAACAATTAATACATCTTTAAATCAAAATCATTATTTAAAACAATGCAATTAGCGAACCATCAATGCAGCAATTCAGGATATACATAATGCATCATGCAAGCTTTTTAACGGCACAGCCACCCGGTTAGCTTCTCCTGTAGCCTGCATGTTAGGCATTTAGAGAGCATAGGCAGATTGTTGTGTCCATCAATAGACAGATGTTCAGACAGGGACATGTTTTGTTTGTCTTTATTGTAGAAGCTGCACTGAATTCAGATGAAGACTATTTTAAGTCTTATTATAATACAGATTTGACTATTAGCAGGAATGCAGCACGACAAAGTAGAAACAGTGCCTTGTTTGTTTTAATGTGAAAGTGCAACATAACTATCTTGTCTCTAATAAGAATGAATAATTGTGATAAATAGGCTAATCATAATCTCAAGTCTCATCAAAATAATTTTGTTTAGAATTTGGGCCATAATGATGGCAAATTATGTATGCAAATGTTTCTGGAAACAATGATGTTCTCCACACATATAAAGGTATTCTTTCAGCAACGTCTTGTATTTGTTGCCACTACATGAGTCAACGCGGTTCATTTATTTGACCACTTAAATCAGCACCACAAAGCTTCATATGATGTGTGCAAACCCAGATCTGGATGTCATCCAAAGCAAAAACAACAACCTTTTCAGATGCCATTATCAGCGTCTGAGAAACAGTTCAAAAGGAAGCGTTTACAGTAAAAATTCTACTTTTTAAACATCTTCTATGCAGAAGTACTTACTCTACAAAATCAATCTAATCATTCAGTAATGAGTAATTCTTTCCATTAGAGTTACTCAAGATGAAAACTCCTGTATTTTACACATGTTGGAATGTAAATCACTGAAAAACAAAATGTCCCAGTTTTTCCAGTGTGGTGCAGCTCCACTGTGAAGTACAGTACTGAGTCATATTGATCAAAAACCTACTTACTTCCACCGCAGCATGGTCCAACAATAAACCTGGCGCTTCTAAAACCTTATCCTCAGACGCATTTATCGCATCGGTGTGTCCTCCTGCTTTAACACTTTCAGTCAGCAGAGTTTCAGCGGCGCTTTCTAAAGTTTTCCAGGTGTTGGTCTTCGCTGTGTTTATCGTCCACTACATCTCAGAGCTGCTCCAACTTGTAAGCAAGTCTGAGTTAAAGATAACCTTGGCTCCCACACAGCCGACGCTGAGCGGTTTAAATCCTGTGCTGAGGCAACACAACACGCTCTCACCTATCACAAACATTTTAGTCCACGCTCAGTAAACACAGGACCGATGCAGGAGAGTGCCTGCTCCTTTTATGGCTCGCTGCTGTTGTGGGCTGAAATGGAGATCTAGCATCAAATGCAACAGTAAGCGGTGTACTGTATGTCTCCCACAAAGCTCTAACGTCGACGAGTTGTCGAGACTACTATAAGTTTTAACCGTCAACGTTAAGCTAATATGTTATTTCCACATTTCTCCAGCGCGAAGACATAATACCTTCGACTATATGGTTTTCGTTCCAGGCTTTAGCCAGAGCCGTACAGACGCCAATTAGGAGTTCTTCAGTTAGAACTAAATACAAGTAGCGCACTGACAAATCTGTGATATAAGCTAATATTGCGACAAACCGAGAGTATGAGAGAAGTAGTGCCATTTTGTTTGACTCAGACGTAATGTCACGTCGTTCCATTGATGAACAGACACAGAGTGATAACTAGGAGTCGTTTTGTGAGTTCCAGTAAGTAGACAGGGCCCGGGGGGGAAAAAAGCAGGAACATCTTTTACCTTGAAGCGTTGTTAGCCAGCCGCTGCGAGCGTTGCCTGCTTCCCATGCACGAAAGTATAGTCCCGCTACTACTAAGAGAAAAAGGCTGGTTTTCAAACACTTAACCCGCACACACACATATATACCAGCCCCCGATAGCCTAGCTAGGTTTCCACTTGAAGGCTAGCCAGCGTAAAGTTAGCTTGTTCCCATTGACTCTCCGGTCCAGCCCATGCAGCCTGTAATACGTGTACACTGATGTCTGCAGCTCAGACGGCGGCGGCCTAGCTAATGTTTACATCGCACAGAGCATGCGCCAACCCGCGACAACACCACCACCTCGTGTTCACTGTCTGCAACTGCACCCTCTTAAAAGCGTTTGTACCGTTTCTGTGTTTATTCAGAAAAAAAAGAAGATTTGGGTAAATAAAATGTATATATCCAAGTACATTTCCAAAAAATTATCACATCGTAAAATAGTTGATTATTTTCTAGCAGTTATTTAAACACTTAATATATTCTCGAGTCTTTAAATGTGAAGTGAAGTATCTCAAAACGTTTTTTGTTCTCAATTTATGGCTTATAGCTCAGCCTTAGACCAGCGCTGATCTCCAACCACTGATCAGAGTAAAATTATTACATTAACAAAAGATGTTGATCTGGTATATTTAAAGAATCCAACAAAGGCTCACAACAATCTTCACTACTGTTGCTATGGCCCTAAACCATGAATGTAAACTGGCAGATTGGGTCTTTACTGTCAGAGATGCAAAGCAGAGACAGATTCAGACTAAATGCAGACTCAGTGAGCACAGTTGAACTGTAGGAAAAATACAACACAAGAATTGTAGCTACCAACAGAAGAAAGAGTGCACGATGAGTGAGACAGAAACAGAGATGCACTTCTTAAAATGTGAAAAATACAATATAATATAAAGCACAAATATTTTCAGAAATTTGCCTTATTATTCCCCAAACTTCACAGAGCTTGACAACAATGAAAAGCAACAGGTCCAGTTCGGAGAGGGACACACAGCATATCTGACCGCACAGGGACACATAATTATAACTTCAACGACAATTATCTCGACACAGCCTATCATACGTATGGCAAAACACATATTTACTGATTGTCTTCTCTTTTTTATCATTCTGTTTTTCTTTTAAGTCTCTTATTTATTTCATTTCTACTTTCTATCAGTACTACAGTGATGCCCTGGCCATCAAATCATATTTTCCAGATGCAAATCAACATGCTCATTTGGCAGTAAATATTGTATTGTCATTTTTCTGATTTTTTTCAATGGAGAAGGAAAGCCAAAATTACCATTCCTACTAAACTATGACTCATATTGCAATTGCAATGCATATCAAAATAATCTAAATAATGTTTTTTGGTATATTCTTCAGCGTAACTAACAACCTCTGCAACCATAGTGTCCATGACCTCTGATAGCAACAACCACTTATAACTTCTTTCTTTGCTACTGCTCTCATTAGCAACACATGTCATCCATCCATCCATCCATCCATCCATTATCTATACACCGCTTAATCCTCACTAGGGTCGCGGGGGGGCTGGAGCCTATCCCAGCTGACTTAGGGCGAAGGCAGGGGACACCCTGGACAGGTCATCAGTCTATCGCAGGGCCACACTTAGAGACAGACAACCAAGCACACTCACATTCACACCTACGGATAATTTAGAATGCAACACGTCATGATATTTAAAAGTATTACAACAGAAAACAGGACAATAAAGTGACAAAAGTGACATTTTCAGCACCATAATACTTAGGTTTGAGAGAAATCAGAATCAGTATATTATGTTAATGCTGTTAATAACTACTGAAAGTTATTTTAAGTCAATTTTGAATTCATAATTACTTCATTATGTTGCACTTATTCTACTCCCAAGTTTGGCAGAAGTCTCAGAATATGAGGAAGAATATGTATGACAAGGTGTTCAGGAAACAGTATGCAAGGAAAGAAAGCATCTTTCCCACAACCAAATTCAGCTAATTATTCTTTTACATAGGAAATGACTAGATATCCCTGCAAATAGAAACAGTTTAGTCCACACAATGTACAATCTGTTTCAGTCCAGCACATTACTGGTGCTCAAGTCAAACAAAAGAGTCCTACTAGCACACATATATAAATGGCACTTATCTAATCAGTATCTGATCCCCAAAACACTTTACCTGAAGTTCATTGCTGAGAAAAAAAGAAGCTTCTTTTAGAGTAGACTGGAGGTTTGAACTCTTGCGGTTATTTCATGTTGTCTTAACCCTAACCCTAACCCTAAAATACTGGTTCAGAAAAATTTTGTTGCCTTAGCTAAATAGACATATGAAACAAAATTCCTCCTGTCGCCAACATAAATCGGTAAAAATATCCATTCAGGTAGCTGTCTAAAAGTGTCCTCACTACAGCTTCACACACCTAGCTTTCACTGAGCGAAAAATGTCAATAGAAACTCACAATGAGGTGACCACAACAGAGTGGAAGTGCTCTAATGAAAATGTGACTAAGCTGACTCCCTCGATTCACATACCAAACACTCATAAAACCAACTTTTCTGGTTTTACATGAGAGCTATGACGCATGTCTTTTGTTGGCTGGTTCGACACTCCTCTGCTCAAAGAAGAAAAGCTGGTGACGTTGTCGGCGACACCGTGGTGACCGCAGGCCTCTGAGTCTGATACACTGTCACAACAATCACATCTCCGGCATAAATAATTACACGGCATTGAACGCACAGCCACGTAATAATATTTAGGAAGTTTATACAGAAACATGTGAGTCACCGAGGACCTAAAAGAAGACCAAAATAGATACAGTAAAATATTACGATGAGAATGTGAGTTGTCGTTTTAGGAATGACTCCATCTTGTGTTGTGTTGCAGTAGCTGTTCATCGGGTGAGCCGCCACAGGCCCAAATCTGTGTGTGGCAGGAGCACCAGATAGCAAATCAAATAAATTATATAGCATGTCCTGTAGCAAGTGCTATATAAGAGAGGCAACAACAACAATATGTGCAATAAAGCATGACCAAAAAAACAGGAAAAATCTAATTTTAAATAAAATAATATAAAACAAAGGAATAGAGAACAGGATATCAGTTTGTAGGATCAATTTCTTAAAAGAAATTAAATATAAAATACTCAAATACTAAGACCGCCAAGAGCAACCAAAAGTCATTAAGATAATGCATGTGTACATATATATACAGTTTGAGATTTTTCTTAAATGTGTCATTTAAACTTGACCTTGTACTACTGTGCTGGTGTTGTTTTGCAGCCATTTCCACAGTTATATACCTGCAACTTTAATTCAAACTTTAAGACTGAATCCTCTGAAGCAGAACGAATTTACTTCCACTGCTGTGTCATTTTGACCACGTTTCTAAGTTTATTGTCAAATACCTGGACGTGCTAGATTTCCTACTTCAAAGGGTGGGTTCATCTAATTACAGAAAAGCAACATATGTTAACACTTACCGTTACAAATATCACTCCACGCTGCTAGTGTTAGTTTTATTAGCAAATTTGCACACTGAGACCTGACACGAGTACAGCCCAAATCAATACTACTATGTTTTAAAAATGCAGAAACAGTTTCACAATCCTTCATCTCACGCCTGCATTATTGGATCAGTGTTTGTCTAAATAATAAGGCAGTAGATTTGAACAAATTTAAACACATCCCCCTCCAGGTTTTTCCTCTTTACAATGGCTCCCAGTATGTTTTAAAATCATTTCTAGGTTCTTTTGATTACTCACGAGGCACTACACATTCTGACTCCCCAGTATCTCTTTTATTTCCATACAACCCTGCTTGCATTTTGAGATCCTTGGACAAGGTCCTTGTATCTGTTCCAGACTCTCAGCTGAACACTAAGGCTGACAGAGCTTTTGAAATAACAGCCCTGTGGCTCTGGAATACCCTGCTGACTAAATAAAGCACAGTGAGTCTAACAGGGATTCTTTTAACTCAAAGATAAAAACATACTTCTTTTGCAGCACTTTTCCTGGTTTTATCTGATTCTAGTTGTTATTCTGTTCATGGGTGTTTTCATTGTTTTGCTTTGTTTTTTAAATGACTTGTGTGATCTTTGCTTGATATCTAAAGCACTTTGGAGCTTTGCTCTGGTACGTGCTTTATAAATAAAGATGCCATTATTAATATTATTACTCACAGCATTGAAATATGACATTTCAACATTCTTTTCTCCTCTCAGAAACATTACTCAAACCACTGAGCTTCATATTGACAAATCACTGTACTGAACACTGGTTACAATTAGATGTTTGGATTATTCTGACTAACCAGGACAGTGTCTCTTAAAAGGAGAGTTGTGTATCTTTTACAAAATGTAAAGTTTTCAATGTTGACAACACCACACATGAATTCCCTCCTTTGCATTACACTAAGATCAGAAGAATTAGAGATTGACACTATCTTTAAACATGGTCAATAAAGCTATATGCCATTTAACATTGCTGGTAGGTGGAAAAATGTGTTTCTTACGTAAAATGATTGTTAAGGGGCAAAAGGACCAAGGTTTTCCCCTTACAGAACAACATAATGCTTCAGTTCTGAGCACCTAAAACCAACATGCAACATTATGACATAAAAATGACCGGAATGCAGGAAATGAAGTGTTTGACGCTCAAAATTCCAGTGAAACCTACGCCCATGCATGGCAGAGTGACAGTGAGCCAGTGTGCACAGTAACCTGACATTACCCTGAAACTGAAAGCAGCTAAATGCAATGCAACCTTCAATTATTATAATATTAACACCTGCTCTTTTTCTGCTTTAACATGTTTACATGAAAAATGACTTTCTGAAGATGTTCTTGTATAATATGTATGCACACACAGTTACACAGGAGGATGAAAAACATCATTTTTAATATTGCCAAAGGAACTTTGGTTATGAAAAACTACCTACTCTATAATCCAGTAAAGGTCTGTAAAAGCTCTTACAATGCAATTTAAAGTTAACTGTGAAAAATTAAGCTGAATGTGCAAAGTCATCAGAAGTCTCGTCTCCTTGCACAGAGGAGAGTTTTTATACAATATTACTGCAGTGGGCAGGAATGACTTTGTGTAGCAGTCGAGTCGAAGAAGCCTCCAATTGAAAACACTGTTGTGTGATTAGTACACAGATGTGAAGTGTTGTCCATTATCTTGATGCAGTTTGTACTTCTCTC